AGTACCGAAAACCGAAGACCGATCAATACGTAATTTTTCCATCAAATTAACGCGGATAAATGAACGATTCGTATTAATTTTCTGTTTTCTTATAGAGAAATGAAAGATAAATCAGTACCGAAAATCGAATATCGATTAATACCGTAAATCAGTGTCAGAGAATTGTCCAAGTGCAATGACAATTTGTTCTTATTTTTCAGGTACTTACCCCTTTAATTTACTTAACAAATTAACTCTGTTAAACGAACGATCCGTATCAATTTTTCTTTTCTTATAAAGAAATGAGAGAATAAATCAGTACCGAAAACCGAAGACCGATCAATACGTAATTTTTCCATCAAATTAACGCGGATAAATGAACGATTCGTATTAATTTTCTGTTTTCTTATAGAGAAATGAAAGAGTAAATCAGTACCGAAAATCGAATATCGATTAATACCGTAAATCAGTGTCAGAGAATTGTCCAAGTGCAATGACAATTTGTTCTTATTTTTCAGGTACTTACCCCTTTAATTTATTAACAAATTAACTGTGTTAAACGAACGATCCGTATCAATTTTTCTTTTCTTATAAAGAAATGAGAGTATAAATCAGTATCGAAAACCGAAGACCGATCAATACGTAATTTTTCCATCAAATTAACGCGGATAAATGAACGATTCGTATTAATTTTCTGTTTTCTTATAGAGAAATGAAAGAGTAAATCAGTACCGAAAATCGAATATCGATTAATACCGTAAATCAGTGTCAGAGAATTGTCCAAGTGCAATGACAATTTGTTCTTATTTTTCAGGTACTTACCCCTTTAATTTATTTAACAAATTAACTGTGTTAAACGCACGATCCGTATCAATTTTTCTTTTCTTATAAAGAAATGAGAGTATAAATCAGTATCGAAAACCGAAGACCGATCAATACGTAATTTTTCCATCAAATTAACGCGGATAAATGAACGATTCGTATTAATTTTCTGTTTTCTTATAGAGAAATGAAAGAGTAAATCAATACCGAAAACCGAATATCGATTAATACCGTAAATCAGTGTCAGAGAATTGTCCAAGTGCAATGACAATTTGTTCTTATTTTTCAGGTACTTACCCCTTTAATTTACTTAACAAATTAACTGTGTTAAACGCACGATCCGTATCAATTTTTCTTTTCTTATAAAGAAATGAGAGTATAAATCAGTACCGAAAACCGAAGACCGATCAATACGTAATTTTTCCATCAAATTAACGCGGATAAATGAACGATTCGTATTAATTTTCTGTTTTCTTATAGAGAAATGAAAGAGTAAATCAGTACCGAAAATCGAATATCGATTAATACCGTAAATCAGTGTCAGAAAATAGTCCAAGTGCAATGACAATTTGTTCTTATTTTTCAGGTACTTACCCCTTTAATTTACTTAACAAATTAATTCTGTTAATCGAACGATCCGTATCAATTTTTCTTCTCTTATAAAGAAATAAGAGAATAAATCAGTACCGAAAACCGAAGACCGATCAATACGTAATTTTTCCATCAAATTAACGCGGATAAATGAACGATTCGTATTAATTTTCTGTTTTCTTATAGAGAAATGAAAGAGTAAATCAATACCGAAAACCGAATATCGATTAATACCGTAAATCAGTGTCAGAGAATTGTCCAAGTGCAATGACAATTTGTTCTTATTTTTCAGGTACTTACCCCTTTAATTTATTTAACAAATTAACTGTGTTAAACGCACGATCCGTATCAATTTTTCTTTTCTTATAAAGAAATGAGAGTATAAATCAGTATCGAAAACCGAAGACCGATCAATACGTAATTTTTCCATCAAATTAACGCGGATAAATGAACGATTCGTATTAATTTTCTGTTTTCTTATAGAGAAATGAAAGAGTAAATCAATACCGAAAACCGAATATCGATTAATACCGTAAATCAGTGTCAGAGAATTGTCCAAGTGCAATGACAATTTGTTCTTATTTTTCAGGTACTTACCCCTTTAATTTACTTAACAAATTAACTGTCTTAAACGCACGATCCGTATCAATTTTTCTTTTCTTATAAAGAAATGAGAGTATAAATCAGTACCGAAAACCGAAGACCGATCAATACGTAATTTTTCCATCAAATTAACGCGGATAAATGAACGATTCGTATTAATTTTCTGTTTTCTTATAGAGAAATGAAAGAGTAAATCAGTACCGAAAATCGAATATCGATTAATACCGTAAATCAGTGTCAGAGAATTGTCCAAGTGCAATGACAATTTGTTCTTATTTTTCAGGTACTTACCCCTTTAATTTACTTAACAAATGAATTCTGTTAATCGAACGATCCGTATCAATTTTTCTTCTCTTATAAAGAAATAAGAGAATAAATCAGTACCGAAAACCGAAGACCGATCAATACGTAATTTTTCCATCAAATTAACGCGGATAAATGAACGATTCGTATTAATTTTCTGTTTTCTTGTAGAGGAATGAAAGAGTAAATCAGTACTGAAAATCGAATATCGATCAATACCATAAATCAGTGTCAGAAGATTGTCCAAGTGCAATGACAATTCGTTCTCATTCCCGAGTCTTTCCCAAGTCGAAATATTAATTCTACATTGATCCTGCAAATTGCATCCAATTTGAAAAATCATTGCAGAATATCTAGATGCGCAATAGTGAACAAGCTTTGTCTTACCTGAACGTTACATCTGGCTACTCTCGCAGTCTCGCCCATGATGAGTCTTCAACAGCGACGTATTCCGCAGTTTAATACTCGTTTATCTCGATAATGTATATGTACTTAATCCTTATATTCTTAATTTAAATGAGCAATTTTTGTTGATATTGATTATATATTTGCTTAACAGCGCAAGAAAGAGAACAAAGATAAACACGTAAATAGAACTGTCTTTGTTAGAACTGCGCGTGAGATAAATATATAAGGATTAAATAATCATATAAGAATTAGAGGAAATGGGAGATGAAAAACACTTTTTATTCTCATCATTCTTAAAGTTCTTTTTTCTTTTTTCTTCTCTTTTTTTTTTCTTTTTTCTAATGAGAATGATGAGAATTGTAGCTCTCAAAAGAGCTGAAGCTGCAAAAAGACAACGGTTATGTCTAATAATGCTGTTTCACTAATAGAGATTTTAATTCTAATTCGGTACAATAAGAAAGATAAACAAGAATGAGAAACGGACATTCTAGCAGATTCTAAAGGGAAACAGCAATCTGAGCATTATTAGGCGAATAAAAATCAATACTTGTAAAATTTATATCAGATTCTAAGATCATTATTCATAGTTTTTTAAATTATGTGCAATTTTTCATTGAGAACATAATTATAAATTTGTATTCATAAACCTTAGCTTGCCTTAGCAACCTTGCTTGAATAGACATTCATATTTTATGAGAAAAGAAAAGTAGAACTCATGTTACGTGAAATTAGTTTAACGAATAATCAAATTTCAAACTATTTTTCAGATGATAAACTATGAATGATGATCTAATTTCGACTCGGGTATGTCCTTACTTCGAATAAGGTCCGTTAAAATCAGAAAAATCTTGAGTAATAATAATGACTCGAGATACCTCGAATACCATATATGATGTATCGCTGTCCACGTCTCTCGGCGCGCTCCAAGTCCTCTGCATCCTGACTTCTCGATCCGACGTCCTCCTTCTGGTTACTCCGTCGCAGCACCCCCGGATACTCCATCGTAGCACTGGCGACGACACTGACTCTAGCTCTAACACTCGCGCAAGTAAGATTCGGACAAAGAAACGCGTATTAACCGATACGACTACCGACACTCGTACTCTGCGTCGCGGTATGCGCGTCGTTCGTCGGCCCGAGGCGCAATGTCCTTTCCGCAATCACGGAGTCATGTATAAGCGTATGAAAACAAACAATCGGGAAGGCACGGTTACCCCCCACTTTGCCGATCAGTGTTGATGCCTGCGTCGTCCGTTAGCTGAAAATGAAAACAACTCGTATTTTCAAAGCATGCCTGTGAGAGATTCGCTTCAAACTTCGTAATACTTTACGTCTGTCCCAAGAATCATATTACGCCGAATTTAAACCGTCTCTATTGACATGCGAATTTTGTCTCGTTCTTATTAAATGTTAGATTATCCGCTGCGGACAATAAGTCTTCTACTTTTCATCTAATATTCAATGATAATAAATAACATTTAATTGCATTCGTTTGGCTTTTTTTATTTCGAAAATAAGAAAATATATACTGGGGTGAGATTTTTACCCATGACAACATTAACGTGATTTTCTTTGATGCTTTTTTTAAAAGTTCAAATATTTCGTCGACTCGCGGGATATTTATAATCGGAGTCTTGTCACGTTAATTACGTGAATAACACATGCTCCTCCAAGCGGATCGAATGCTCACCGACGGCCACTGTCAGTGTCACGAGTGAATGTCCGGAGCGGACGGGATGCTGAATTAAAAAACAAGACAAAGTGAACGGGACGCGGACAACGATACATCATGCGTCTCCATACATGTCAAATTGTTTATTATAGAAGAGACTTTGATACGGCAATATATATTCGAAGATTTAACATTTAATATGTACTTTTATTTTTTCTGCTCCTCCCCCCTCTCCCCCGCTCTTTTTAGACCACCGGGCATAGTCTGGCATAGGCCGGTATTCATAGTCAAGTCTTATATTTAAGACCGTCTTAAGTTCACGTTCAGATATTCTGTAGCCAATGAAATGATCTGTACAGCATCTGAAGATGAACTTAAGACGATCTTAAATATAAGACCGGACTATGAATACGGCCCATAGAGATGGCAACTGTCATTGTAGCACGGATATAAACCGCCTGAAAGTGGATGTAGCATGGACTTCCACCATATGCAGATTTTACCACCGAGACCTGAAAGTGGATGTACTATCGTAGTTCCCCTCTCAAAATGGATGCAGATGGCGTCCTTTCCCAGTGCGGAAAGTCGGTGTCGCAAAAAATGTCGTATTGGCCGCTCTCAGGTTACTCTCTGATACTAGCTTGACACTAACATCGTCGCGCATGCACGTCCAACCTACCCAATTTTCCATCACTGGTAATAACTAGACGTGGAAGTCTCGTGTTAACGGGTACCGCAAACACACCGAAACGTTTAAAGGTAAAACGCCGAAGTTTGAAGTAAAAGCTTGTCCATTTATAATCATGGCGGTACGTGTACAATTTGAGAATAATAATGAGATCGGTGTTTTTTCAAAATTGACAAATTCCTATTGCTTGGTAGCAATTGGTGGTTCCGAAAATTTTTACAGGTGAGCATGACGTAATTGATAACGTAATTTTACGAAATTGCTGTTAAGAATGACTCGTCTATTCGTATTGGATAATTTTTACATATATATAGATAATCTTCATGCACGTGGATATTTTCAATATAACCCTAAAGATACGTCTCTAAAGATATTAATCGTATAGTTAAGAAATATAAACCATGCGTTCATATAAAAGGCACGAAATGCAATGTAGGAAGATGAAGTCGACTTTCTAATTTAATTAGCGGAGGAAAACTTTCTTTTTTCCATTCTTGCTATCCCTATATTATTCCCTTTAAGAGCTTTATGGGACAAAAAGAATATTTAACCTCGTATACATTCGTCCTTCAGTTTAGTTATGATCTGACTGAAGCAGAGAGAGGAAGGTTATATTTTAATCTTTAATTTTTGGAAATATATTTCCAATAATTTTCATGTTCTGGACGATGTTTAACAAAACGAGTAGTTATGGACGAGAATGATTAATTGTCATAAAAGGTTTATAAGAATCCCGTGTCATAACCTTTTTATCCTGTAGGAATGGCGCGGCTGACTATGACAAAATCGCTAAACCTTAAAAAAAATCTTTCATGTTGTTTTATCAATTTTCGCATAATATATATATATATTTTTTAATTAGATGGATACAATTCTAATCATTGATTTAATATGAATATAAATTTCAATGTTATGTTCTTATCATCATTTGATTACAATTGCTAAGTATTTCACTGTTATATTAATATAATTGCAGTGTATTTGAAGCAGAATTATCGGAGACAATTCCAGTTATTCATGCATCAATTGCAGGGTGTCGTATTATTGGTCGACTATGTATTGGTAAGAATATAATAAAAATTTTTTCATGTAATCAAACTGGAGAGTTACTTTTTAAAAATGATTTTCTGATGTTATGCATTATTATATATAAACAAAAATTTATAAGACATAATGAAACAAAAAAAAATTATGCAATATATACACTGCTCAAAAGAATTATGGCATAGATAATTTATTGTTGAAAATTAGCCAACTTTGACTAGCGATTACTTAGCGGAAAATGATTGTAGACTAATTATTTTTTTCAAAAATGAAGCTTGAAGTCTCTACTTTAAGAATGTATCTCCATTTTTTGCATGCAATGTACCCCCACCCCTGTAATCCCTGACATCTGAGGGCATGTTTGCTACTGTTTGATACTGAAAATTGCAAAATTTGACGGAATGCACGGACATGGACAATTTTTTTTCGGGGACGCCGTTTGCATCGTCATAAAGTTCAAATCTTCCCGTTCAATATGAAAAAAAATGAAATCGCTACAATTTTTTTTCGCAAAGTTACAGCCCTTCAAAAATATCGTTGTTTTTAGCCTTCGGGTCAAGTGTGCACGCATGTGTGTGTGTGTCCGTGACAGAAGAGATAAGGACCCCGTGATTCGTCATTTCCACAGTCAATAATTACTGTGGAAGTGACGAACCACGGCGATCCGTCAGTCAAAGATCCGATCAGTCAAAGTTGGCCAATTTTCGGCAATAAATTATCTATGCCATAATTCTTTTGAGCAGTGTATATATACATAATATATATGAATATTTGATTAATTATAATACAGGAAACAAAAGTGGGCTGTTAGTACCAAATACTACAACAGACATAGAATTACAACATATTCGGAATTCTCTGCCAGATAATGTGAAAGTTCAAAGAGTAGAAGAGAGACTATCTGCTCTTGGAAATGTTATAGCATGCAACGATTATGTTGCTCTTGTTCATCCAGATTTGGATAGGGTAAATCTCCAATACATCTTTTTATATTGGATTTTATGTGAACAAGCAAATATTTATAACTAGAATATATATATATTAATTTAATAAGTTTAAACATATTTTTACAATTTTAACTCTTAGGAAACTGAGGAAATTTTAGCTGACACACTGAATGTAGAAGTATTTAGACAAACAATTGCGAGTAATGTTCTCGTCGGATCATATTCAGTTTTGTCAAATCAAGGTGGCATGGTACATCCAAAGACTTCTATACAGGACCAAGATGAGCTTTCATCTCTTTTACAAGTACCACTTGCGGTAAGATAAATTCAGCCTAACAATATGAAGAAGTTCAACAATACCCTGTTTCTTAATTGATAATTATATTTTAGGCTGGTACTGTAAACAGAGGTAGTAATGTAATTGCTGCTGGTATGGTTGTAAATGATTGGGTATCTTTCTGCGGTATGGAAACTACTTCAACAGAACTGTCGGTTATCGAAAGTGTTTTTAAACTTAACGAAGCTAATCCGGCTGCAATTACATCAAGTATGCGTGCGTCTCTTATAGAAAGGTATGATTCTGATAAAACAAATTTAGTAATGTAGTGTGACATACATAATTATATCGATATATTTTTATGTAACAAGACCTTTTTTATTCCTTAGTATGTCATAAAAATACAAAGACATCCCTGATAAACTGGAAAGTTTGTGCTGGACTCTAGATTGCATACATGTACATAAACCGAATATTTATTCAACATACACGATTGCACAAGATTTATGCCATGCTTACGTCTGACATCCAGAACAAGCACTTCACAATTCCGACATAGGACAGAGCTCGGCAAAATGTGCACGCGACGGCCGATTTTTGACTATCTCCGCCCACCGCTATTCCCTTTACCTCGCCGCTCTGCGCGCTGCCTGCAAGCCGCTCGAGCCTCAGGAACGTGTTTCCAATAGTTTTCACATCACCCATGAGGTACTATTGTTGGCATTTTTTTTAAGTGGTATCCCCAGAGGCCTCTTCATTTTTCAAAAATAAAGTTTATAAAAAATGAGAAGTGTTCTTCTTTAAGCGACGATTCCTTACCATGTCTTATGCGGCTCGCTACATACAATATCCAAATTGACGTTTCCACTCTTACCAATAAAAGACGCCGAAAATCGAATTGAATATTCTTCATTTAACATATTTTATTTCGCTTCTTCATTTAACATATTTTATTTCGCTTCTGTTCAATTACGTTAATAGTTACGGGTTGTTACAGTCATCAGTGGATTAGGCTTACTGGGCATACCACTTACAAAAAAACGCGTCAACAATAGTATTTCATGGGTGACGTGGAAAACTATTGGAAACATGCTCCTGAGACTCGAGCGGCTTGTAGGCAGCGCGCGGAGCGGCGAGGTAAAGGGAATAGCGGTGGGCGGAGATAGACGGAAATCGGCCGTCGCGTGCACATTTTGCCGAGCTCTGACATAGGATATACAACATATAGTGTAATAAAATATTGAAATTCATAAATATAGTGACATACTTTCTGTTTGTTACAGTTCAATTTCTAGAGTACTACTGTGAAAAAAATGTAATTGTATTTTTTTAAATAAAAATGTATATCCATTTTTATTAAAACAATAAATAGAAATAAGAGTAACAAAATGAATGGAAAACCAACCCAAAATTTTTAATGAATTTTACAATGCGAAATATCTCAAATCTCTTTATATTACCTCTTTGTAGACGTAATTATACACCCAAGTATTGCTACTGAAACACAAATGTAGAGAATTCGTAGAGAAAATTCAATACCTTTTTTCTTAATTAATAGATGTTGCTGTATATAAAACAGAAATACTCTATTGAAATATATTTTAATCAATATTTTCTGGAAATACAAACGTGTCTCGTATGTCGAAAATATAAATAATTTTTGTCCCGTTTCAAGTCTGTTTAACGTTCTGTCTGTACCGTAGTAAATAAACTATAAATATGATCATTACCGCGAGCCGGTCTGCTAATAAAATTCACTGTAGATCAAATCGACCGATCTATACTTGTTTATTGGTTTTAGATTAACAGGACTAGAGTAGTGGTAGTTGTTCGGCGTGTAACAACTCTGTGGCGGCGGCAGAATCCGCGCACATGACCAACGTAATGCCCGCTTGATAAGACGCCGGTATGCGAATGTGAGTGGTTCCTGTAGTCGTACTGTTAGGTTGCTGTCTCTCGCTCATTGCCCCACGCACCATATTTACAACTTGCCCTGTTACCCACGAATATTTTGTCAAAATTGTTGTAGAACAAATACTTTCAACGTTTAGACCGAAAAAGATGGAAGTGTATTACTTTATTTGTACGTACCGAGAACATTAAGTTTTCGCCATTTCTGATCCATCATTGCGAGTGGAGTTAGATCCGTATTTGCATTCCAATGTGCTAAAACATCTGTCCTTCGTATCAACAAGACGCTGGGGCTAATCAATTGATGCCATAAGAACTAAAAGAGCATCGTAATAAGATTTCACTCGAATCGACAAGACAATTGTACAAGTTAACGTGATTCGCGACGATCAACTGATACGATACCTCTTCGGGTAAGCATTCTAAAGGATTTGTTAAGTATATGCCAGCCTGTCCTACACCAAATATCATCTGATGATGCCAGGCATCCGGTATATCGCAACCTTCGCCGCAATGCTGCAGATTCAACGTTGCGATTGGCGCAGCACCTGAGAAAACGCGAAGATAAGCTTTCATGCTCGTTCTACACATATATTTGTTTAGTGAACCGAGTAATGTATTCCTCTCTCACCTTTGGAGATCCAATAATGCAACCAATGAGACAAAGACACTTTCCGTTCCGGATAAAATGCAAAGAACTTTGTTACAGCCGCGCCGTTCGTCGACAGAGATATTCCTCGCGCTATGTCCTTATGAGTTGCTCCCGCGACCGATCGGCTCAAGAGATATCTCGGCAACGAAACACCCAGTTCTCTCAATCTTGTATTTACACCTTTCACTAATACTTCTAGAGAAAATGACATGTTCAATGCCAACTGTAAACAGAGAACAAAAGTATGATGAACGACGGTGATAAGATTATATATATAAAAATCTTTTAATGTTACCAAAGCGTTAATCGCAGACGTAGCACCGCAGGCAGATGTGCCGATTTGTGTCACTTGTTTCATGGTAGCTTCCTGCTCGCTCCATAGCATCACTTTCTCAACTGGCGGTAGCCCGTCGATTCGTTCATTACACAATTCGCTCTCCTATACACAAATCAAGATAAAAATTTAGTCACACGACTCGCTAGACCTTCGAATTCATTGCATCAAACGGTTTTATACAAACCAGGTTAGAGTCACCGCTTTGATTGAACGCAGCCTGCTTATTGAGCATCAGTTTCTTGGCCATCATTCGATGGTAAAGCGTCGAACTGAGATTGACCCTTCTGGCATTCAAATTCGAATTGTCCTGGACGGCTGCTGTCGACGGTTCAGCCCATAATTCCGAATCAGAATCTCTATTATCGCCGGGTGAGATAAGGTCGCCGCTTGTGTTGTGATAACCGTATGATTCGCGTAATGGACAACCTGTGTTGCGATAGAGCGACGTGCTTTCCCATCTTCCTGTAAAGTTCGTACAGCGTTGAATATTTAGTAGAGACAGTACGATCAGTAACGTCACATTGTCGAAAGGAAGGTCGCAGCCAACGAAAAATTATATTAATACCGGAGCTGGTGCTAGGCATCCACGGAGCGGAGTAAGTTGACTTCACGCTCTGCTCTATTGCGGGTTGATTATTGATGCACTGTTGAAAAGCCGTGTGATTGACGTTCTGCGTGCTCTGCCTCGAATTCTGCGACACGGCAGTCATCGTTTGCCTAGACACCACCTTCCCGCTGCTAAGATCGTTCAGCATCGGATCCGGCTCTACATTATCTAAAGCTATGTTCTGTATATCTTCGTTTATAGAGGCCAAATCGCTGTCTCCGGTATCCTATGAGTAAGAAACAATCAGACCCAATTATGTATAGCTAGACCAACGGATATAGCTCGGAGACGTGAAATTAATTTCATGGCATAGTGAATATTTGATACCTGCTCGCAAGAAGGCCCAGGATCAAAGTCCATTTCCAAGAAATCCATCTCTGGACTTGATCTACCACTATGGTATTGGCCTGCTGCCCCGCGATCTTCTGCATGGCCTTGATTTAATTCCTCTTTCTGATCCAAATGAATCATATCGTCGTTTCCCTTATAAGTATAGATGCAATAATCCTCTCCGTCAGACATATCACCTTCATTTCCGGAACTAGAATCCATTCGTTCTACCTGCTCCCTCTGCGGAATCTATAAATAACACAGAATTTATTTTGTTATAAATCAAACTTTACTTTTTCTCAGTAAGATTTCTCGATGCTTTGTCACAATATCCTAAAACCTACCCACTGTAACCCACTAGGACCAGCGACTTCCCTACTTCCATTGATATTAGGTCTCAAGACACAACAAGTACCTTGACTTGTTGAACCTATACTACCACTTATATTATTCAGTATACGTTTAGATCCATAGGACTTTGATGTCCAGGAACAATCAGCCTCTGGACTAGAATCCGAGCTACAGGAAACTTTAGAAGGACATTTCTCTATCGCTGATGCATAGTCCACATTATTCTTCATATCTATATCATCATTTGGTTTGATTATTGGTAAATCAGGAGACATTAATGATGAGCTGGATATGGACACACTATAATGCGGCACTGCATTATTGGTGGCTGTACCAGAGTTGAGAGAAACTGATATCAAATTATGATTGTGGTGTGTATTTGCCTGAGTGGAAGATAGATTCAAGTGCATCTGAGGCTTAGGCAGATTCAAGTGCATCTGGGGTTTAGGCAGATTCAATGCGCTTATATTCACAACAGTCTTGTGCTTCAATTGACACGTAGCTTCAATTGACACAACATTGGTGTTCATAGTCTGAGACTTGATATTGCTGGTACTCATAAACATGGAAGATACGTTCGCATTCGAAGCATCCTGAGAAACATTCTGTTCCAGAGAATTGGCACAATCGGATGTGGCAGTCTGACTGGCTCTCATCCTGTTCGGAAATACAATGCTCATCTTGGATGGTATCAGCCTGACGTTATTCTCGCTGCCGTTGCTGCTCAATCTCAATTGTTCACCGGTGGCTCTGCTCTCTAACTGCGTCACTTTCGACGTCACAGCAGCCTGCTCGGCATTTTGATTGTCGTTCTTTAAACCATCCATCCTGACCTCCGCCTTATCCTGATCACTCGCACCGTTTTCCTCCGAATTCATGCTATTCCCGATGGGACCAACGGCGAACGCGTTACACTGCATCCTATAAACGAAGACACATGATAACCCCTCCTCAACATCAGCCTCACGGATGAAGGTAAAGACAAACAGAATTGATCTTTATATCTCTTGACGATACCGTCGTTGCGAGATCGCCAGCTTACCATGGAATGCGACACGAAATTATCCGCTAAAGATCGAATGCGAGAAGTAATGGACAAATTTCGTTTTACGAAGTTCTAAGAAATGCCTCAGCGAGGTGCGCGGGTTAGGCGGAGATTGACATCACGTTCCGGCCGGAACTAGGCTACGAAAAAGCCTGACGCCAACGACACTTCAGCTCGGCTTGCGAGGAGAAGACAGATGATGTCTCGTTCCTCTCGTGTATAAAAAATACACAACCTTTCGTGTCAGGCGAAACTACCGCGGAAACACCTTACATTCTACTGTCTCGTATTAGTACCGGAAGTCAGCTGATTCTACAGAGGAATGAGAGTATATACGAATCTTACATTTTTTTTTCCATTACTTTTGTTCCTTTGCTATTTGCTACTTCATTTCTTTTTCTTTGATTGAATAAATAGGTATGCTTTGCATGTACGTATAATCGCTAGTAAAAAAACGCGGATCTTTTGTCGCAAGTTACCTCGAGGCAGTTAATAGGAACGTATTGTTTTTGTAGTACTACAGATCACAGGTATGGCTGACCCACTCTTGAGTTGTACTACGATTTTGAATTTTCGATAAACTGACTAATTATTACTAGCGGAGATCTTGAAAGTAACGTGGGTGATAGTAATGAGTCATTTAGGCAGGAAATCAAAGTACACTGCTTAACAGCGATAGTGAAACAGGCATTTGTTATCAAGAAGTACAATTTAATAGCCGACTATTATTGCTTAAGTAGTGTAACTTGAATGTTAGTCAGCCGAATTATGTATCTGTAAGTCTGTTCTTTTTAGCCGAACCAATGCTGCATTGAAACTTTGTTCCTTTTCCCTTCGACGCAAATTTATATGTTTGTTTCACTTTAACGACAAAAAGCAACCTACTTCAGCTAAAAAGAACAAACCTACTGAAGTAAGTAATTGTATGCATGTGTTGGAAATACATACACTTGGTGTATGGGACGCGTATCGTATTTTTTGATTTCATGTGTGCGATAAAACCTCGGGAATTGGGACGGCAAAGTCTTCGGCGGGTGTAGTGTCCAGCCGGTGAAACGAATTTTCTCGCACGATGAATGTTGTGCGAATCAATTCGAGAAACATAATATTTCTCCTCATAGCACTCTTGTCAACCTCCACTCAAGAGGTTCACATGGGTTATGGTCAGTAAAATTGACTCTACGGCTGTATATTACTTAACTACAGTGTATATCACATACACAAAATTATTTCTATTTTAAATACCATTTTTCATATTTGCAACGCATTTGATATTGAACATTTATGTCATTATATCTATGTATAATTAACTTTCATGGAGGTTTTTATAGATTGCAATAATTGTAAAAAATAAATGTAAATAAATAATCTTATTATGAGACATTTGTGATAAATAAACAATATATTAATTGCAGAAAGTATGGTCAGTTATGCCATGAAAGATATTAATGTAAATTCTACACCAGCCTATAGTAGTAGTAAAAAGGTAAGATTTATTGAATTTATATGTACAATAGATTTAAAAAAAATATATATATACATTATATATATATACACATACATATTTACATATATATATAATTTGGATCATTAAATTGCAGGAAGAACTGACTAACTTATGTCCAAGTGGAACATCCTGCACAGAATTGAATAGCGAATGCTTAAAATGTAATTTAAACTATAATTGTATATATGGTACAACATATGTTGCTAACTGTTCTGTGTTGGAACATGTTGATTGTATAGTATGTAAAACTTCTGGTTATTTATTAAATTCAACAATGCTTTAATAGATTTAGATATATTTTCATGATTAAATTAAAATGCTCTGTGATTATAGGGAGAACAATCTTTCCAGAAAAAGTATATATGTCGGTTTTGTTATCAAACTGAGCACTGGGAACATCAGTGCCAGCAAAAAAATTCTTGTAGCTCAGTGGCATCTCCACAACAATATTATAGGTTTATAATATTATCAAGTCAGTTAAGTTATTTATAACGGCATTAGCATGAATAATGGTTTAATCAAATATTGTAGGACAAATTGTACAGTAAATGATGATATATTATGTCTGGGAAGACGGAGATTTATGAAAAATTTGCAGTGTAACTGGACAGTTGGCTATCGATGGTCTACAGCTCTAATTTTAAGTATTATTCTTGGAGGATTTGGAGCAGATAGGTATAATTTTTTAAATATTATATGAATTGCAGATATTTGCTTGTTTCATTATTGAATTTGAATTTCATGAAATGTTTATTGAAATGCAGATTTTATTTGGGACATTGGCAAGAAGGAATTGGAAAGCTCTTCAGTTTTGGTGGACTAGGTGTATGGACCTTGATCGATGTGATATTAATTTCTATGAGATATTTAGGTCCTGCTGATGGCTCTTTGTACATTTAAATGTTCATAAATTATTATATTATATTCATAGACATTATTAGTCCAATTGTTCAATTCTTTTTCTAATTTATTTTACTATTTATTTATTTCTAAGAGAAAAATGTATGCAATATTTTTTAGTAAGTATTATATAAGTAAAATGAATAATACAAGCAACGTGACATATACATATGTACATATATATACATATGTATACATATATATATAAATTAAATGTATTATATATATATATATATATAAATTATATATTATATATATAAATATATAAATACGAGGTCTTTTATAGAAATAGAGTTTATATTGGTATTGTTATATAATAGAATTTATGTGAGACATATCTTAATATATTTATCCTTTGTGAATTGTTATAATATACTACTAGAAGAATGTGCAATGTAATATAAAATATATACATATATTTGTATAGTACATATTCTCCCTGCATTTTATACACAAAAATTATAGATACTATATGTAACATCTTTTAAATGTTACTTTTAAATGTTACTTTACAAATTTTCCATATTTGAATACTGAATTCAATGGCATATGAAATTGTATCAAATTTTTTTATTAATTAATAGAATGAAATGGAAATAGAATATTAAAAAGGTCACAATTCTCATTGTGACTTTGAAATTGATAAAAATCTGTAGAGAAGAAAGAAGAAAAAGAGAGACATATTGATCTATCAATTTTCTAATCTATCGAATATCGATTAGTCAGGTTAGAGTTCCGACAGTATGAACCGGCGTATGTAATAGCATTTGCGATGAATACAACACAACAAACGTGTTCTCACTAAAACTATTACTTAAAATTACTTATTAATGAATTATAAAAGAGATTATGTCTTATATAACGGAAAATTAATCTATTAAAATACATACATTTCTATCTCTTAATAAATATAGAAGCAACATTATCACAAATCTTCGCATAACCTGCGTGAAATCTGTTATGAAATATATGAAGTTTCAATTACGGAAATTTGAGAACTGTGAATTTGATTTGTGAATATTTTATAAAATATTCGAATATTTCTGTTATTTAATTTTATTAGAATTTGGTTCAACCGTCAAGATGCCTACGGTAATAGCACTAGATGTTTCTTTATCAATGAGAAGAATTGTATTAAGTAATGGTATGAATGATGGTTTACCAACTGAACAATCAACGCGACATCATTTAGCAATACACGGTATAAGTGCTTTGTTACATTATTTGCAAGTCAATTCAAAGTTGGAATTTGTGTCATTGGTAAATATATTACTATATATTTCACTGATAAAGTAGTGTATATATACTTTACAAATAATTTAAACTTTTAGATTGTGTTTTCATCACTGTATGAAGTGATTTGTCCTTTTACTCGGGACTACGACAGCATACGTGCCAAATTACAGACTATTGAAGAATGCGATAAAACTTGCATTGAATCAGCACTGCGTGGTGTTAATAATGTTATAATGGCAGAATGGGGTAATACAACAGCTTGCCAAGTAATACTGATTACAGATGGTAATACTGGCATAGGACCAATGTCTTTAGCCCATTCTTTAAATACTTTAAATATTGTACAAGATGTAAATCCCTTTCCATTACCTTTTCCATATCCAGGAAAGTTAAGTGTTGTTTGTATTGCACCACAACAAGGTAAGATTTGAGAGATGAAAGCACTATATACATTTTATTGCACACTTTTGAATATATATTGAATATATTCATGTTAAATTTTCAGATCTTGCTTTGCAGAGAGGCTTACCTTTATATCAACGTTTAATTGATCTAGCCGGTGGTGATAGCATTGTATTAGTTCCAGATTCACCGCTTAGCAAATATTCAGTCGCAACTTGCTTTCAAAAATTAGCTGAAACAAATTATGTTTCATTCCAAGGATATCTAAAATGTGGCCATTTAGGTTCTCGTATTTCATTATCACCCCCACCTATGGTAATAACAAGTATGCAGTGTAGATCATTATGTTGGCATTCGTATAAAGACTTTAGATGTTTCAGCCTTACACAAAGAAGACGGACTTTGAATTGGTCCCAGGCTTGGTAATATCAAATACCATAGAAATCTGTGGATTCATATCCGTAGGAGATGTTGGTAGCCCAAGTGCTGTTTCCAGACATCTGGTGTTACCATTGTCGACAGAGAAAACTGCGAGTATGCAAGGTATACCGTTAGAAGATGACTCGGACGACGAAAATGATGAGGGAAAAATACCGTCCTTCTGTGTGTTGCTTCACGGAGCGTTGAAGGTGGTGCCTTCAGGTGTTCAACAATCCATTCTTTTCCAATATTGAGATACCTCTGATATAAAACATATTTTGCAGGTGGAAAATATGGCAGCCCTTTGTTTATTGAATAATGATTGGTATGGTTTCATATACTCTTGGGCAGATACCAAAAAAAAGTCCAATTTAATGTTGACGGTATTAGAACAGGGATGTGACGTTATACCATGGCTAGGTACTTTTGGCAATTTAGGACCTACAGATGCAACTGATGCTGCTGGAGCTAGTTTTCCAGTTAGACCTACCGAAAAAAGGAGTTATACACAGAATTCACCTTCCTGGATTCGTCAGGTTGGCTTGCAATCGGACATTCAAAAGATATTAAGACATGCGCGGAAATTGCCCGAGAAAACTCAAAATTTCTACAAGGTAAATCGGTGATGTCATGAACAAGCATTACATGTATTCAATCTATGTATTAGAGACGATGTATCACCCATGTTAGACATGATCTTGAAGTAATCATTCCTGATGATTACACAGGAGGTAAACAGATTACGACGCGCGGCAGCATCGATCGGTTTCGTTGAATTATTGGAAGGATTGGCGTGCATTTTGGAGCGAGAATGTACGTTACTACCACCAAATCTGAATCCCGACTGTACGATCCAAATGGGACACGTAGCATCGATGATCAGAAAACCAGAATACCTCGAGCTTAGATACAATATACCACCCGCACGAACGAAGTTTCAACACGGCGGATCTTAAGTTATGACACATCAATTATTTTATTGCATTTATATCGCATATTGGACGTTTATATATTTAGCAAAAATATATTTGTACATGTTTTATTCTATAGGCTACATGTGTTTTACAACACAAATATCACATCCTTTACATATATATTCTTTGACTTTACTTTCTAACTTAATCTTATATTTCCTAGTCTAACTTTTTACATTTAGAATCATATATATTACTAGACAGGGTAAATATTTAAATTTAAGTACAATATGTATATATATATATATATACAAAATTTTAGAATATAATAATATTAACATGTTAAATCAAAATTATTATCTATATTTAGAATTTCTTAGTAAATTACATAAAATATCATATAAACCTTTAGCAGTCTGTGCACTTGTATATTTGTTAAAATCAGGTACATGAACAAATAAGGTCTTTGTTGGATTAATCAAAAGAGATTGATAGAATATATATTCACACAGGTATCTGCCAGCGTCACATGAAATACAGGCTTTATAGCCACTTTTTGTGGAATTTTTATTTATGTTATTGCAAAGTTCATTCGTATCTATTCCAGTTTCCAAAATTTTGCACTCCATATCTGTTTCATCAGGATATTTGGCATGTATATCAATCCTTTGATAGCCATTATTGTGAGCTCGACATTCTATCGTCAAACATTCAGCCTTGTGTGATACACCTACATGTACAACAATCTGAAATGAAATCTTTTTTAGCTGAAATACTAAAAAATTGTACAAGTCAAAATAGATTGTAATGCTGTTTACCATAGGATTATGTTTCTTCCAAAGCAGAGGAATATGTGTGGATACATAATTGTATGAGACTGGGATCTCTTCAGTGATTAATTTAACATCAGAGAATTCATTGGCATTTATCCATAATTTTTCTAATTCCTTCACTGCTTCCCAACTAGCGTTCACCACGTGTATATCAAATGGACCGAAACCGGTCACTAAAACTGTACACTTAGAATCGACACACATTTCGTAGACGCTACTTGGATCATACGAATTAATCGAGCGACGTTCGGCCTTATTTACAATCCACTTATCAGTGAATCGTTATCACGAGATAGATACGAAATATGTTGTAATAAAGTACCAAGTATTCAGATCTCCCCGGGTGAGATCTATTAATTTAACAAACTGCAGCGAGAATTTGCGCAATGATTGCGGAATGACGAATGAACCTCGTTCGAATATACAGGGTGCACGATTTATCTGAAGACATTGAAATATCTCGAGAACTATGCATTGGATAAAAAAAAGTGGTTAATGAAAGTTGTTAGTCTCGAAGGGGGACATCCAATGATACCAAACTCGACCTCCCACCCCACCCCCTGGGGGTGGGGGTTGGGGGCAACTTTGAAATCTTAAATGGAAACCCCCATTTTTTATTGCAGAATTAGATTGTACGTGAAATTTTTATTGAAACAATTTTTTTCATTCGTGATAGATAGCGTTGAATTTTTCCGAGAAACTACTTTTAACGTTACACAGTTACACAGTTTAGCGTTACACAGTCGAGCAGTTCCCTCTTCGATTCGGGTTCCCATTTGAGATTTGAACGTTACCACCCACCCTACCCCGAGAGGATGGGGGGGGGAATAACTTTTATTATGTTCTTTAAAAATATTGAACAGGTATTTTTTATTTCTCAATCCAATGATCATTTCTGGAAAATTGCGGAAAATATAATTTTTTGCGATTACAGCGCCATCTATCACGAATCAAAAAAAAAGTTTCCGACAAAATTTACGTATTTTATGGCGTAAATCCGTATCTGCAATAAAAAATGGGGGTTTCCATTTAAGATTTCAAAGTTGCCCCCAACTCCCACCCCCAGGGGGTGGGGTGGGAGGTCGAGTTTGGTATCATTGGATGTCCCCCTTCGAGACTAACAACTTTCATTAACCACTTTTTTTATCCAATGCATAGTTCTCGAGATATTTCAATGTCTTCAGATAAATTGTGCACCCTGTATATAAGAATATATTCGCGTCAGTTGCAGATTTGGAAATACGCAAAGATCGCGCGTGGGACATTTGTTGACCAGGGTCCAATTTATTGACCAGTTTATTTGAGCTACATTTGTCCTACAACGTAATATCGTATATATTCCTTAACAAAAATAAAAATTGGGAACGGTTAGGAAATAAAAACGTTCTTTTTATCTGACAAAATAGAATATGATGTTTATTAATATTTTTTGTTGAGCACTAAATATTATACTGTTATTTATATCTGCTTCACACGTGATCATGGGTTTGTTCTTTTCAGCTGAACTGGTGTTGCACTTGAACTGCAGTGCAGTTCAGAGGTCACTGGAATTGACGAGGAGTACAGCAGAAGTTTATAGGTGCAGAAATGCTAGATAGGATGGAAAAGAATGTCATAATGCAGGAAACAACATGGCGCAATACGTATGTTATTCCAACTAATAATTCTTTAGATGAAGATGATTGTATTTTTATTTATTTTAGCAAGCTCCCTGAACACATACACATAGTTTAGACTAAAGCGAGAAGCAGGGTTGTTAAACTTCCATGTAAAATTTCTGACCAGTGTTTTAACGCCATCTAAAAGATGACCCCCAATAATATATGAACTACGTAGCAAAGTAACTTATCGATCGATAAAGATGAGCTCTTATTCGTTTTAGTATATTTAATTTTATATTTAAATTTTAATCAATTTATTGGATTTGGAACAAAATGAATAACTAAAAAACAATTTTAAAAAATAAACAATTTAAAACAATGTATACTCATTCTTTATTTTATTTTTTTCACTGTTTTTTTTTTGCATATTTTGTTGATATTCGCATTGCTGCTTTATACATATAATTATCGCTATCTGTTGTTATCTTTTTACATAAAATGTTGTTGATATGTGTACACCAAGCATCTATACTTGTATTATGTATAAACAATACAGGAACCGCAACATTTAATAAAACACATTTATGCAAACATGGACTATAGTCTTCTGGACGAAAATGTTTATGGCACACTTTATTTTTTTGTATCTCATTGCTTGGATAATTTTCTAAATGTTTCAATTTCAAACTTTGTACCCATTTTAAGCATCTTTCAGGATCTTTGGGAAATCGATGTGAAGGCACTTCTTTCCCAGACTTGCATCCAGGAACACAACATGTCCTCCCCATATCTATGCTCAAATATCTTAGAGGGACGTTCTTTTAAAATCTATGACGCAACGTACGCTGAAAACATTTTCGATGCTACAAATAAAAAGTAACGTAACAAATACTTACGTCTAAATAACAAGTGTGTTAATATGTCTTTACCTTCACCGTATATATGGTAGTTTGGAGCGAGCGACGATGACCACACAAAAAAAATTCCTTTAATTACGAGAAGTGTTAAACAACGTTCAAATATTTATTATAGAAATATAGTTGGCTGCGTTCAGCGAACATAAGTAACATATACACGCACCAGTCTTATAACAGACGCCATATTGAATTTTTGGCATCGTAGTTCACATTTCCTGGGGGCTATCTTTTAGATGGCGTTAAAACACTGGTCAGAATTTTCCCATAATAGTTTATCAAGCCTGGCGAGAAGCACTTTTGCATAAAGGCATAATACACAACACATAAGAAAATGCACCAATCAGAGTCTTCAATTTTCAGCATGGCAATAGAAATAAAGATTCTAATTGGTTGATTTCATTGCGCATTGTGCATTATGCCTTTATGCAAGAGTGTGTGTTTCCCGCTTTACTGTATATACTGTGACTTTGCTTTAAGCTATAAGTCATAAGCAAATTGACCAATCACAATTGATTATTAAAAATAGCTGACTATGGTTGGTCAATTTGCTTATAGCAGAGTTGTGAACCAGAGTTTAGTGGTAATGTTGTCCTTTTCGGCGGGATGTCTGGTATATTTTTTCAGAATTTCGAGTTACTTAGACGGTCTCTTTTTTCAAGAATATAATTTAGTTAACGAAAGTGATTGAAACGTAATACGTGTTATGAATGATAACTTTAATTATTTCATGTGTATATATTATATGTTTATATTCTTCTTCTTCTGTGAAAAACGATACACATATGAAACCGTCGTTTTCCTAACCTGTTAAGATTTTTATACGTGTTGTATGTGGTATATCTGTAATGTCCGTGTATCAGAAAACATAGAATGGTAAGTGATTTAATGTTGTTAGTAAGATCGTGGGAATATTTCGCAAAAAAGCACTCCAAATGAATTTATCGCACGCTTTGTTTTGACACTGGCATCGTTTAAGTAATTGTCCCACATATGAATTGTCCTTCGAAATTTACTTATGTTACACTTATGTTTATCTTGCTTACTTCCTCTCTCTATTACAAGGAAACTTCATAAAATAGCAATGCGCATTCCATCTCATGAGATACGTCCTCGATTTACGCTTTTGACAATAAAGTGGGGATGAAGTTCAAGTAATGTAAAAATATGCGGGACTGACGACTCCCAGTCGTACCATAATCAGCGACATGAATAATTAATGTATGTCGATTTTATAGTTTTATGTAAGTTTGATATATAGTACTCTATGCAACTTGTGTATATCTCATTAAATATATCCAAAATCGTTGCGGCCAAATCCGCGGAAAAGTTCCTCCACTCTTGAAATTTTAACAAAATTTCTCAATTGGTATACCTGTGAAATTCAGAAATCCCTCTGAAATCACGAGTTTAAGAACTTTTCATTTAATTTGGATATTGCAGTATAATGGTCAATAAGAAATTATAAGATAAGAATAAGAAATAATTCAATCGTCATTGTTTTCTTACAATTTATTTATAAACTACAATTGTTCACAGAAATCGAATTCAAACTTAAAATTCAAGGAGTTTCTGCGAATTTCGAATATTTTGTTGCGAATCCAGCGACAAACGTAACATCGAACTGTCGTCAAAATTTGCGCATATCTCGGGTCACCATATAGTTATGTTCTGGAAGAATATCAAGACCACATTATTGTGTGGCCCGAAAGAACTGAGCAAGTCTTTCATGTTCGAGGTACGTAGACAAAATGCGAACAGTAGCGACATAAATTCGCCATGAAGACCGATGCGCGAGCAAATCTGACAAACTTCAATAAACTGTAGAAATTGGTGAACTAACATGCGTCTAATCCTCGCGAAACGTTTATACAGGATTTGCCCGCGTGTTTCAATAACGTAAATCTCGCTTTTCTACGTAAAGCAACACGGCCCGTTTGCTTTCTTTAAGATCGGTCGTTTGAAGAGTTCATCTTGTTTACTATTCTATTTAAAACATTAATAACGAACACTCTCGGCGCAGACGAACCTTTACAGCGCACGGTCCTCGTTTATTACCAATTATAATCACCGGATCCCCGCCGATAGACTCGTTGTCGCCAACTGCTACGCGACTCGTTTCTTTCTCTTCTCTCTTTCTTCTCTCCGCACGTTCCCGCGTCCACCGCCACCACCGTCGCTGGGGTTAATACGAGAGCTATCAAACTGTCAACGCGTGTCGACACCGTTAATCGGCTCGTTACGCATCCGTCTCTCAATCTCTCTCGTTCTCTCTTCGCGGGCCCCACTTGCTGCGTAAAATACCTGTCGGCAGTATGGCGTTTCTTGAAACACAGCTTTTCCCGGCTGCGCAGGCCGCGATATATTGGGCCGAGGAAGGACGACGTGTCGTTTATATTGCGCCAGCACCACTGGAGAGACAGCCGGCGGCCTGTCACGACAGAGGCAATCCAGCAGTCGCGGCTCTCAAGCTGATGAGATTTATGTAAGCGGAACATTTTTCTTCCTATCACGAGCGCGAACGCGCGCGTGCACTTTGTTGCACGTGTGCGCAGTTCGCGCGCCGCATGAAGAATCGATGGCCGAGAGTCGCCGTGCGGAGTTTACGGCCGCTGCCGACGCGGATTTACGCATCGGACTTTCCGCTCGCATGCGCGCGAGCGAGCTAGTGCGAGCGCGTGTGTGTCTCAAAAATGCGTAACGTTCCAAACCGATGTGGAAGGCCGCATACCGCGTTCTACCACGACTTGACAAATCGAGCCGTGTGGCTCTTTCTTTCTCTTTGACTCTCTTTATCCGCCTCCACTCGGGAATGCTTTCGCATTCGATCACCGTGATCGCTGCATTCTCGCTTTAATTCATCACTAACGTGTGTATACGCTAATTATGCGTTATTAATAACGTTATTCCGCGAAAGGTGTTATGAAGAAGTTACAATTGCCTCAATTGTCGCACGCAAGAGCCGATGCTTAATATTCCACGCCCGTGTAAGCATATGCGAGCTGCTTTACGAGCTCGTGTATCCTCTTTTTTTTTTTTTCACCAGCGGACAGGCATAGATCATGTCGAGGGAAATTAATCAGTCAGGCGCGTCGAAGATGAATGTATTTTTCATTTATCACTTTATTATAGTATACAGGAAACGCGCGTACTGTGCATACCAATGCCCCATGTAAAGCGATGTTTCTGCGAAAGAAATAAGTTTGCAAGGCAACGATGGAATGCGGAAATCGCGTGAATATCATCCCAAAATAATGCGAATGGTATCGCTGAAAAATGTGCTGTTCGAAAATAGACGTACGGGCGTTCGATCGAGTAAGAAGTGCTGAATTGATTCCCCATCGTCGTTTCGTCTCTTTTTATCTCTCTTCCCCGTTCTCTCTCTCTCTCTCTCTCTCTCTCTCTCTCTCTCTCTCTCTCTCTCTCTTTTTCTCAACGAGATCACACTGAATCTCTCGCTTGAGATTCACTTGATTAAGACGCAATCTCGGAATGATTCGGACGTTGCTAATGTGAAATCCGCGCTCGCGCTCTTTCATCTCATCCATGCGTTAATATCTGCTCTTAGCTACCTGTCGGATTACGAGAGTCTCGCGGAGCAACTCGTCAAGTTGCACACCTATGCGGCCGTGCCGTCCGTACTTCTGATAGACGACTTGGACAATTACCTTAATGACGACGCTGCCGGAAATGATGCGAGCGCGCACATTGCCAAAACCTGCGCCCTCATACACCACTCGATGAAATCATGCGCGCGGGCTCTGAAAATAAACGTAAGTGAAGCACAGCATATGCGCAATAAAAAGCGCGAAGTTTGTTTCTTCAAGCAGAAAAGCCGCCTTCGGCTGTACGATACGTATCTCTTAAGTTCGATAGAAATTCTTGTTTATCGTTGCGCAAACCGAGACGCACTTGGCGTTCGGAGTATCGCAAAGCACTGCTGCGATACTCGAAGAGAATAGCTTCCTCCGACGTATTCGGCTGATTAAAGCTCGGCTGGTCTCCGCTGCTTCAGCGAGAAAGTGTCGCAAGCTTTAATCAGCCGACTATACGCACGTCGCAATATTGCACGTCGAATGGCTTCTCGCACTCGCACTCATAAAATCTGATGGTCGTACAGGTGCATGTGTGTGCGTGGAGCAGCTCGGTTCTGATCGACGGTTTTCTTCACACTATTTACTTTCGCAATGTCTGGAAGTTGTCAGAAGTGGAAGACGGAAAGGCGATACTGTTGGAAGGATCCACGGTCGGATCACCGTCGAAACAATCGTACAAGTATCTGAAATTCGAGGACGGAATGCGCGTTCTTCAACAAGTGCTGTGCGATCCGGTGGAGACCAATGATACGCAGTGACGTTTTTGCCCGGTAAGATTTACCGGTAAGAAACAACCATTATTGTTACTCTGACTTATTTTTATATTTCATCTTTTATATCTTTTATTTTATTTGCCAACTTTTTCAAATCTCTTTCTTATTTTTTATCTTTCTTACCTTCAATCTTCTCTTTTTAACTCTTCAGTTTTTTCTTCTCTTTTGTGTCGTAGCTTCTGCAATAAGAACGTAAGGAGGATTTCTGAGGAATCATTATGCGTATACTGTTGACCGCGGCAAAAGTGTTACCACGCGACTTCGTGTGTGTATGTATGTGTGTGTGTGTGTGTGTTTATGCATGCTGTTGATAAGGAATATTCGCGGCATTCTCAGATATATATTTCGTCGTGATCGCTGTTGCTTAGCGCCTGCAACCGTGGCAACCCGGTTGTTACACAATCCGTGAGTGTAGGTCCACCAGCCTAATGAGGCAAGCATTTCATTCACGAAAAATTCGTTCTGCACGAGATATACACCCGCGAACAATGATTCTAATCGTGCTCTTCTAATTGGCACGAATCAAGTTTAAAGTGTCGCTTACACACTTGGATGTGTTTGTGCAAATTCATGCGGACGATTCTGGCGATTCGCTCGAGTGTGCGAAGCGGCGTGTAAACGCCAGCAATTTGAGCTTGGTGCGAAAATCTTGCGTTTAAGGAAAACTCGGTTCGTGTAAATCTCGTCAAAGTGTCAGAGAAGGATACATCAGTGGATAGCACAAACGCTCTTGAACACGCGCGAACACGTGTGAACGGATATGTTTGCCATCAACCTCGGATGTAATGCATACGTAGATGATGATGCATCGCTTCTATCGCTCGATTCTATTTTAAGTATATTTCTAATTGACGCGACACACACACACACACACAGAGAGAGAGAGAGAGAGAGAGAGAGAAAACTTTTTTTTCAACGGGCGCTAGAGTCTACATCTTTTGCGCTCTTTTTAATTCTCCGAGTCCGCTCGGCGTCTTCTTAACATTCTTAATGTAAATCGCGGCTAATGACGGCGCAAAAATAGTCGTACCGTCTCTATATTTAGCATAACCGAGAAAAGTAGAGACAGAGAGATGACTCGAAAACACTCGAGGTGTTTTCAAACAAATAGGCCAGGGTAAAGAGACTACGCTGATCCCAGAAGAATAGCTCCAATTAGTGTGAGCTGATGCTGAGGAAGAAAGAGCTCATAATACACGTTTACACGCAGCCTGAAACCATGTTTGCGCCCGTATACGATGTACATTCACGGCAACGTCAGAGGGGACGACAAGACGAGTGCGGACTGAGGCTGATTTTGATTTTTGTAATGGGCCGTTCAATTCACGCGATATCGAGCGCGGACGAATTACGCGTGAGCTCATAGTGCGCGAGCCGAGTGCAAGGTGAAAGTGCAAAGTTTGTATGAAGTGACTGGATTCGATCGTTCGGTCCTGCGAAGCAACGGTAAACCATCTCAGCGGGTGATGAAGCGAAGGGAAGCGGTGGCAGCGAGGGAACGCAGGAGAGAGAGAGAGAGAGAGAGAGAGAGAGAGAGAGAGAGAGAGAGAGAGAGAGAGAGAGAGAGAGAGAGTGTGTGTGTGTGTGTGAGAAAGAAAGAAAGAGAGAAAAAGAGAGAAGGAACGGAGAGCGAGTGCGAGGGAGAGGTGAAAATCGCCGCATACCTGAGTGAACAGGTGTGCTGGAGTGGACGACGGTCGAGCGTGCGGCGGTGCCCGAGTGAATCGAAATACGAGCCCTTGCTCGATTAATTATCGAAAGTATAAAGTATCGCCGATACACGTACCAGCGTGTCGACGGAGACGATAAGAACGAGACGACAACGAGCAACGACGTCGATGAAGTACTTCGTACTTGAGAGTACTTATATTATGAAGCATCGCGGGCATCCCTACTCCCCCGGCGTAGAGATCGCGGGGCACCGGAGTGTCCGTTGTCGTCGGAAGAGGAGTGCAGCGGCGGAGTGCCCCGGCGAATATCGGGCCGTGGCCAGAGGCTGTTCCAGCGGCCAAGCAAGTGGCAAGTGCCAGTTGCTCCGCAGCATTCGCCACGGTTGGTCGCGATCGCCGAACGCTCGGTGGTGTTGTGTACTGTTCTCTCTTTCTCTCTCTCTCTCTCTCTCTCTCTCTTTCTTTTTCGCAAGGGATCTTGCGCGCACGGACGAGCTCTCTCCTTCCACCTTCAGCCTCCTCTGGATACTCTGGATCGGCGACGCGCATTCTCGACCATTCGCACAACCGTCCGTGGCAGGTAGTCGTAGTAATCGTAGGAGCTGAGAGCGGTCCCATCGGGACTCACGCTGTCAAATGAAATAAGCGGGGAAACATGCTGCGCCGTGTCGGGAACGCAGCAGCGGGAACGAGTGGGTGCATATGAACACACGGAGTGTGCTCTTGCGTGTCGTGCTCGTGCGTGTGTGCGTTTCTTTTAGTTCCTCCCTTTCCTCCGTGAACTTCAGTGATTTCGATCTCTTTTATCATTGACCGAAAACGCAAAGTGTTGACGAGAACGTGAGACGATGATACTCCCGACGATACGCGTCGTCGTGTGCCTGTCGCTCGTCGTCGCCGATATCCACGCCGTGGCCAACACCGTCACAACGGCTAAGGTAATTAATGATAATTTTTTCTTTCTTTAATTCTTTACTTTATTTCCAGTTATTAGCAGCTTCTTTAATACTCGATTTCATCCGTCGCGTTTCGAAGATTCCGCGAGTTCGAGCTTTTAGGTCAGATCCGGACTAGATGATTACGACTTCGTATGATTGAAACTGGAATAAAGTAATGGAAGTTTTATCTTGGAAATTTTATTATATTATGTTTCATTGGATTCTCTTAAATTCTTCGATTTCTATTCTCCTCTTTGAGTTTTTATCGTTCTCAATTGATAATCAACTAGATAGACCCATCAGATTCTCTGCGTTCCTACTGTCAGATAGTAGTTAATTCTTTTATCTTTAGATGCTTCCTTGTTTGATTAGTTATTTATTGATATTCCAGATACTTGTGTTTATATGTATATATTCTATTACATATTTTCAAATAAATGTATGTATATATTTTTCATTTTTACTTTTAGTACATTTTTTATGCATTTTATACTTTTGACAATTTGCATCGTTAAATTCTATAATTCTTAAATATTTTTAATTGATTAACGTCTGCAAAAATTTGCACTAAAGTTGTTAATTTATGTTTCCTTGATAGTTATTTTCATCAAAAATAAAAAGAATTTACATAAATAAAAAGTTGTAGTGACCGTAGGCAGATATTAATTCTCATAAGACGTTTAGAGACAATCTTACGGCTTCAATTTTGAATACATGACAGGATATCTGAGTTATTTTATGTGCGTAAGATTTATTCGTTTCAGCGTTCTAGGGTTAATAATGCACGCGCTCAGGTTTGTACAAAACGATTTGTATGGCTTTTCACTCGAATATTTGAGATTTGCTGTTTGTAGTGAAAGTGGAAATAATTGAGAGATAATTTTTGTCTCTTCTTAGACAAATATAAATGGGAGTAAAGATAAGATAGCATAACTTTGAGTCGCACACGGAGATTAGTATCATACAATAAATTTGTTGTTACACATTTTTGAGAAATCGATAGTTTGGATTTACGTCATGCAACACGACTGAAATACACATGCATCAAGTTGTTGCGCGTCAAAGATAAACTGTACACTAACACATTCCATGTGCCATTTTAAGAGAAATTAAATACGCCTCATCGAAATAATCCTGTAAATGCAGTAAGTAATTTCGAATGTAAATCAGCACGTCACGACTCTCAACTGCCACTAGAGTCGGTACTGACTCCAGTGACTTGCCTAGTACACTGACTCACTTTAAGACTAGACATTTGCACATTAGGAACGATGAAGAGATATAATTGAGAGAGGATGCTGTGAGAACATATTAAAAATAACGGAAATAACAGAGGGAAGTACGTTGCTCTTGGCGTCGCTGTAAATATTACTCGGGACATTCAACTGGCGCATTCAACTAAAACCGGCGAAGGCGATTTCAGGAAATCCGAGATATCTCAGCCAACCTTAATATCATCCCATCTCTGGCTTCTTCTTCGTTGTTAGCGCATGAAAACGATTACAGTTTTGTGCTCGATGTAAATGTTTCTCTTTATCCCGCACTTGAGCAGCCCTGGCTGCGATACAAGTAGTCTTTTGTTTGCGTTGAGTAAAGAAGAAAGGTAAACCGCGGTGTGTCTAATGTCATAATTAAAGTTGCAGCGAGCGTTACGATTTTTTCTAGTCAATTATAAGCACGGCTTATCGCCGCGCCGATGATTGCTCACGGCTTTGCCGTAACGTATCCGTGGCTAACTTGGTTACAATTAGCAAGGTAGTGCCGCAAGTAACAAGAGATTCCGAAATTAATTGACGATCGAGCGTCCGAGAGCGGAACTTTGTTGAATTCAATTATTTTGATATCGTCGGTTACAATGATTTTTTTTTCTTGTTTTTCCTCTCTCTTTTTTGACAGAGTCAAATCATGTTGAAGCCCCATGATATCAAAAATTGGCAAACAACATTTGTGCTACCTGCTTGTAGTTAACAAGACAAAGAGAGGACAATGTCCCGTCGAATCCACAGGCAAAGCGAAATATACGATTCGAGGTACACAAGGAGGCACACATTTTGTAACGACAATTATCAGCAATAAATACACACACACACACACATATGTATATATATATATATATATATATATATTTAACACATAATAACGAGGTAAAAGTACTTTCTCGCGTTATAGCCGCAAGATGAGGTATCGTTCTCGATGCTGCACGAGGGAATGCGTATGCGCGAGATTACATGCGAATAAGAAATCGTGCGGTCCAATCAATTTCCGCGGCGATAGCGACGGCGTGTGTAGTCGTCGGTCGGAATCGCATGTATGCGCGACTCTAGTTGCACAGCCGTTAAGGGAGAAAATCGTTTTTATTTATATCGCGGTCATTCGTTTCTTCCTTATCGAATTAATTACGATAAAGGCGGCCGAGTAACCGTCGAACTTATTCCCTTCCCGTCTAGGTTCTCGTCAACGAGAGAGAGAGAGAGAGAGAGAGGGGGGGAGAGAGAGAGAGAGAGAGAGAGAGAGAGAGAGAGAGAGAGAGAGAGAGAGAGAAAAAGACATCTCATCTCGCCACATTGTGCCGCAATAGTGTCGTGTATCGAACAACGAGACTACAATTAGGCGGCTTTGACGTACAAGGAACCGAGCGTCTGCACGTTAAAACCATTGTTATCGCACTCGGTAGACGCTCGACGTCTCCGCTAAAAGCCGGCCATTGAAACCGGTGCAGTCTCGGAGCGGTGGATTCAATTTGCGACGCTATAAACGAGACGCAATGTGAGATCGCGCGGGAATAAAATAAGGATATACTTTGTATTTTATGGGTACATATCCGTGACATTTATGGCGCTGTATTTTTACTCTTAATGTTGCCAAAAGTTTCATAAGACTTACCAATAAATGTGAAGGCTAGTTAGAGAACTGATCTTTGACGTGTTATCCTTCACATTTCATTATTATTATTAACATTATTACTATTTCTTTGATCAGTCGAAGAGAATTTTCAAAACGAGGAGCAAAATATTCTAAATATATTACATTGCGAATATTTGTTGTTCTTTTACGATAAAATTTTGCGCGCGACCAACAACCACTGAATTCTAATTCAGCTTTCGTATTTACACTTCGATTTTTTTCAGATATCAGAAAATGTCTGATAAAACTTACAATTGAAAAGGTTAAGAACAGAAACAAATTGAAGATGTATAAAAGAGAATAAATTTCTCCAAAACAAGGAATGAACACAAAGGATCATTTACGAGATTGATAGAAATTGTTTCCAAAATCTCATTTAAAATCACAGCGGTAGGCGAACGAATTAAATAAAAAATCTCATGTCGATATCTCAAACTTCCTTCGCGTAAAAGTTCTCTTCTATGTAAATACGTACGCGAAGAAATATTCGCAAAGGAACTTGGCTGTTTCGAATCGCTTTTCTTTTATTGTTCCGGTTGCGTGCCAGAGCGACTGATCGCCGATAAATTATCGCGCCATACCGTTTTGCGGTTCTCATCATCATTCTTTTTTCTTTTTTATCTCAACCGCATTTTTTCGCCCGCATGCCGACCTTCGAGATTTGACGCACGCATCTCATTAATAACGCATGATTCCTGCCGTATAAATGTCTCACGGTTCCAGCAGAAATGTAATCGGGATGACTAGACGAAGTACCGAGAAACAAGAGATACATTTTGATAATTTTCTATGAAATGCTGCTCGATTTTGCTTCCTGATACACATTCTTTTATTCTGATAAATTTTTTATTCCCTCCCTTCCCCCCTTTTCTTCCACCATCTCCACCGTCTCGTTGCTGCATTTGTTGTTCTTGTATCTTGCCACTGCTCTTTTTTCTGATATTCGCGTCACTTCGTCAAGGGCGATCGTTAATTATTAACTTGCGTGCGCGGTAAACGTCACGTTGTCATCGAGCACAAAGACGTCAATTATCGCGCCGTAACTTCCATGATAGCCCGGCGCTAATTGCGGGTTTCGTGCGAGTGTCACGATCAAGATGTATGACGGAACGGCAGGAATTGGAGCAAAAAATAGTGAAGCCGGCGCCACACGGCCGCAATTGATTCGCGGCTTGACAATTGACGCAACGGACAATTGACCGCGGTGTAGCGTGATCGATTCTAAGCACGAGATGACGGCGGTTTATTAGCGGGCCGGCTTATAAGGAGAGACTAATAAACCGCGCGTTGCAAAAATAAATTTCCTTCTCGCGTCTGCGCTTAAATGGGATCCTCGGGCGTGAAAAATAGGAAGGGTGAATACTTGGGCTCACGTTACGTCGACGTGGAAAGGACTTTGTGACGTGAGATCAACCGTGAGATTCCTTTCTCCCGTTAGTGTTACAACGCCAATTGCAATCTAAGGAGATAGATTGAGGAGGAGAGAAGAAGTAGCTCTAGCCGTCTAGTTAGTCTAGTTATAGCTAATTCAAATGACCGATATTCTTCGGTCCCGACGAAGGTGAGCGAGGAATATCTACCGGTTGGAGACCGAGAGCTTTCGGGGAGAATTTCTGTGCGTGTGCGCGACGTGACTGTTGGCCGTGAGTAACGCGGAGAGTTAGTTTCGCAGGAGGGGGGCGGGGGAGGGAGTAGAGACGACGAGCAGGAGGGCGAAGAAGAGAGGGCCCGGTAAGACATCGGCTCTCCCCAAACAGGTTTCTTAAACACATTCTTTCGGTGCTTTCTCGGTGCTTGCCGTTCACGAGCAGCCGCGTTTATCTCGTTACGTTAAAAAATATATATTCTTAAGCGCGCGCTGTCATACCGAGAACGATTACGGAATATTACACACACCTCCCGGCGACGACGTCAGCCGCGTACAAGTCGCCTATTACTAATTACAGGAGAGACGAGGAGAGACGGAAGTGAGAGACAAAGAGGACGAGAGGGAGAGGCGATTCGTCGCGCGGAAATTGATGAAAGATAGCCAACGCGGTATCGGCGGTATCGGCGGTATCGGCCGTCGCGTGCTCGGGATTTAATTTCATTCGCGGGCTGATCAGCTCTCCGTACCGGAGAGTCGAGCGTACAGAGAACCGAGAGAAATTTCACGGCGCGCACGAGGAAACATCGTCGCTCTTCCGGCTATCTAACATCAATGCCACAATGCGTGTATCACTCGTGGCAATGAGGAGCGAACGGGGGAGGGGAGCGGAGGAGAGGGCGGCACTCCAATAAATCAGGAAGAGAGGCTGAGTGATTGTTGCGGCACGACGCATCCGTGGCGCCCGGAATGCGTCACGCATGCGGCGATGCGCACCGGTGCTACATGGCGCATTGCCACGCGATGCATTGCAACCCGGCGCGTTACACCGACACGCTGAATGCCAATGATTGATAATGCATGCCTAATGCAGCTGGGTTGGCGCCACCTCGGACACGATCGGACGTCGCTCGGACGTCGCTGACGCGGGAGCAGAACAGAAAGCGCGATTTGTTGGCGCGCGCCTCGTTATTGCCGCCCGAGATTTTTCGCGATACCGCGCGCGCGCGCTCGGTTATATATAGGCGTCGGAACAGTAGACGTTGTTTAATCCTGCTATGCTCCGTTCGTTTCCTGTACGCGGCTTCAGATCCGCGGCTCCGAGACGTCTCGAGAGACGTCCGCGCGTTCCAATGAGCTCTCTCTCTCTCTCTCTCTCTCTCTCTCTCTCTCTCTCTCTCTCTCTCTCTCTCTCTCTCTCTCTCTCTCTCTCTCTCTCGATCGATCGGACGTGAATCGCGCTTGTTCTCTCGTCTCGCCTCTAAAAATATCCTCCGTCGAAAACCAAAGCGCGGAAAATCAAAGAGGCTACAGGATCGAGAACAGTTTCAAAGATAATATTCCAGGCGTCGCGTCGTTCCGGAGGTAGAAAGCACTCGAAAACACCGCGCGGGATGGTTCGTTGGTGAACCGCTCTGAAATTGATCGGCGATCGATTTGCCATTTAATACTTGTGCGATTTCTTTTCTTTTTTGTCGTTGCAGGAGGAGTGTAGAAAGAGGATAGCCGAATGCATGATGAACGGCGGTGGAAGTACACCCGTTTGCGGAAGTGACGGAGTCACATACCCCAGTCAGTGTCAGGCTATCTCTAAGCAATGCCAAGGCGTGTCTATCCTTATTAAACATACCGGGCCTTGTCCAGGTAGGTGCTTTAATGTCTTAAGCCGAGTATCTTTGAATAGAATCCCGCAGACCTTGTGATATAGGAAATTTTGCGACTATAACACTCGTAGTGGGCATGGGAAATCTTCCGTTTTAGATTGAACCGAGTCCCTTTATTTATCTTCTTTTCTCTCTTTTTCTCGGTACAATAGAAAATTTCAGATTCAAAAGTCCTTTTATATTCATAAATTATAAATTTTTCGATCATCCTCTAATAACGATCTTAATGAACTTGCTTGAATATTCGCGGATCTACGCGGATCCATTTATGGATCCCTTCTTCCTTTCTAAGACCGCAATATGTACAGTCGTAAATTATTTACGATCTTTGACTGAGAGTGCGTAATTAAGTTATAAAGTTGTATTGTATTTACAGATCGCAATCTCGGGCTATTTGAATCTCAATATATCTCGTATGAAATAAGTACAAATTGGTGATGATAATCGGATGATAACTCACGCGCGAGAAGTCACAAGTATTCCTTCAGAATAGCACAAAGAAGCCATCTTTATTCTCTTTCAATTACGATTCTCTCGATTATGTGTTATCGTGAATGATAATAATAATAATAATAATAATAACTTGGTGATTTTTGCCGAATTATTCAGAGACACCGGCGTGCTTCTCGGCGAAGCTGACCGCTCGACCGGGCGCGGAGCCCACTTGTCGGCCGGACGGTACGTACGCGCCGGTCCAGTGTCACACGGAAACCGGGTACTGCTGGTGCGTGACGCCGCAAGGTCGGCCGTTGCCCGACACGTCGGTAAGACACGACAGACCACGATGTTTGAGACCCGGTTCCAGATCTGCTGCTTCCATTAGGAGCGGCCAAAGACGGCGCTCGCCGAATTGGAAACAACGCAGGCAGTACGACAGCAACAGGCACCGGAATACCTGCGATCGCAACGAGAAGTCCAAGTTCAACGCGAACCTCATCGAGAACTTCAAGATCGAGTACAGGCGGACGAATATATCCGCTGATGGTAAGCTACGTACAATTTCGCTACGTGCGATTTCGTCGAGAGGAGCACGATGGGTCGAGCTAGATGATTCGCGTTTACGTTTCTCCTTCGTTCCCTGCGACTTGTAGGCCGATAATCATTAATCTTCCTCACATCTCTTAGAACAACAGGATCAAATGCGAATCTCCGAGTAGTATAGAGATTGTGTAGGAAAAAGCTGAATGTTTAGCGACAGCATATGGTCCTCATTAAACTCGATAGTAGAGTCACTTGTATTACGACGTAATTCGAAGGATCGATTTCGTTCAAAGTTAAAATAACAATTTTCGCCTTTGCGATAGTACAGAGTGAACGATTTGTTCGTAACTCGGCTTGTAACTCGACGAATAACGATAAGGCACGCAAACTGCAATATTCATACCTTCGGTATGAACTGGACGGATGTAATGTCAAGAGATACTGAGATATATGTGTCGCTCGTTAGGCGATAAGGATGTCGGGCGGGTGCTGTCGTGGAAATTCGTGACTCTGGACAAGGACGGGGACGGCTACTTGAACAGAGCGGAGTACAAGGAGCTTAGAAGACTCGCTAAGAAGGCGGTGAGACCGAAGAAGTGCGCACGCACGTTCGCCCGCACGTGCGACCTAAATCGAGATTTAAAGCTATCCAAGCAGGAATGGGGTGCTTGCCTCGTGAATGATTTTACTCGTAAGTTTAACACATATCGCATCCTTCGGTTTTTTTCTGACGATGATGACGATGATGATGACGATGATGATGATGATGGTGATGGTGATGGTGATGGTGATGATGATGATGATGATGGCGGTGGCAGTGGTGGTGGCGATGTTGGTGGTGATAGTGATGGTGATGGTGATGGTGGTGGGCGACGGCGTAAAATTATTGCGGCAAGCATGCAGACGCGCGGGGAACGGCGGTAGCAATTTTCTGCGTTAAGCGTAATGCCGGAAGAGCAACGTCATTTCGGTGTCTAAATCGCTGCTTGAATTAAAGCAACGACTACGACGAAAGAGACAGCGACGGCGACGACGACGACGACGAAGACGACGACGGCGACGTCGACAGGATGTCACGCGCGTTAAGGAGCACATGCGCCGCGATCCGTATGCTTAACATTTGCGAATCCTGCCGGAAGTTTGCCCACACGAACGGCGACCGGTCGCCGTGAAATTGAAGCAATTGACCTCGTGTATGGAGCTAAATCCTCGCCCACGCGTCGCGACGACAAAGATTATTTGCTATTTGCGACCATCTAATGACGTGTAAACCGCCGGTGTCTGCGTGAAATCCTGAATCCTGAACGTGATGTTAGATATTCGTGCAATCTGTACGAGGAGTGCAAGTCCTCAGACGAAGTAAAATTGCTTGATTCGCAAAAAACGCACGTAACTATGAGAGCAAGCTGAAAAGTATGATCACGATAATTTCGGCATCATGATTTAACGATCGTTTGCTTTTCTTTTATCGGAGCATTCTTGGAGGAACATTCCGCGGTTATCAGTATTACTATATGTTATAAAACAATGGAACATAAACTTGGAGGAAAAGAATTACACTAAACCGAAGTAAAAACAAATACTGCTTTTTTTTTATGTAATTGTATTATACGAATAGTTTGCATGCAAACCTTTTGCACCAATTTAACGGCCACAAGAGCAATTACACGTTTTCTTCGGATGAAAAAAAGGAGTTAAAATGCGCTCTCATGTTACAAAAAAATGCATTCCTTTTCTCTATGCTGAATGGCTTGTTAATTTGAAATTTTCTGCAATAGGGAAACTTGTAACGGACAAGAAAAACGAAAATAAATCATGTTCCGCAAGAGAGAAGTCACACAATGTTCATGTGAAATCTAACTTAAAAAAATCCGCAGAAATAACAATCAATAAAATCAGTATGTGTATAAATTTGCAGAAATATTCTTTATACGATAAAGAATCAGTAAATGCTTGGAGAAGATCTGCTGAAAACTATTTCACACACTACGAGTTTCGACATTCCACATTCCACAAAGTTTTCTTTCTTCCTAGCCACCGTTACACTAATTGCACTATTTTAATCACATCGCACACATGAGAATCAAGCGGACGCAGTACATCTGATATGCGAGTGCAAAGAGTTGACATGAACGTGCATGTGTTGTTTTGCGCGCGCACGTGGAATTTTCTGTCGTTGCTGAATTATTATCCGTGTTCGCTCGCTCGTTGCTGTGCTAAAATAAACCTGCGATGCGTGAATGACACAAAACAAAAATTGTACATATATAGGTAAGGCCGGTCGGCTGAGTGACATCATTGTTATCATTTAGTACATTTGTTCTTGTCGCTGAACCCCGCAGACGAGCGCCCCGAGGTCCCTGAGGCCCAAAGGACACGGGCCACGGACCAAGGTGAGTCCCAGTCTTGCAAGTCGAAAGCACTGTCACGTTTATATCTTTCCATTTTTTTATATAAGCGACAATTCTTTATATGACCCAATATGTGTTATATTAAATATGTTATTTACTGGTTTCTAATAGAAGACACACACAATAGAGTCAATTGTAAATTAATATCCTTTTCTCGCAAGAATTATTTAATATAATTTGGAAAATATAAAGAGAGAGAGAGAGAGAGAGAGAGAGAGAGAGAGAGAGAGAGAGAGAGAGAGAGAGAGAGAGAGAGATGAAAGAGAGAGAGAGATGTTTTGATAACGATAAATTTAATAATTAATTGTAACATGTTCTTATTCTTATTATCATTATTTAGATGACTTATGTAGTAAATAGTTAAGGACCTGAGAAATACAAAGTTGTGTCTTAGATTCGTGAATGGTAAGTTAATGGACTCTTACGTGACAGCGCTTTCTCTGTGAATATATACTCTGTGATATACGAAAACTTTGATGTCAATAACATAGATTTGCAAAATTACCTTGCAAACTGTACATATATACATCATGTTTTGTTTATAAACCGCTGCAATTAACAATTTGTTTTAAACCTTACAAGCTGTACAAAATATATATGCTGAGTAAAATATTTCGACCATGTACTAAACAAAGACACATTTTTAACTTCTACGATATTTCTTTTGTAAATTATCGCGATACCGATCTGTCAAATATGTTTCTTTTTTTATTTCTTATCTTCATACGTAACGCCTCGTTTTTACGAAATATCTCAGATTTTGCAGTAGCGTTTTATTAAAGAGATATAAACCGTTTATTATTCATTCTCAATCCCGATATTCAGTCGTATTTTGCACGATTTGTATATTGTTTCTGTTTGTATTTGTATTTTGGTTTTTTGTAATTGTATTCTGTCCTCAATCTCAGTTAGTAATAAAATAATAACATCATGTACAACAATTGATAAATGGCGATTTCGTTTGAAGCATTTCACGATGATAAAGGTAATATGTATTCGAGCGTATTATATAATATTCTGAAGTTTTGGGGATCAAAAATTCGGTGGTTGCATTTTAAATTAAATTCACAGAGAAGAGTGGCGCTACATTAACTTTAAATATCTTTCGCAGTTTTGAAAGGTAGCCCTGCACCTGTTCATTCGAAATCAACGTTTACCGACGAACTCACAGATACTAAGGAGGAAAATGAAGGTAAGTTCTATTTCTATTTGTGCGTTTAACTTGTAATTTTTATGTAATTGTTTCATGTAATTGTGTTATGTGTTGCATATAACTTCATTTAACAGACATTGTTAATTCAACGCATGTTAATTGATTTACTATGTAGATCCCTTGCAATCCTTTGGTCGTTACTATAACACGGCATTTGCTTGTTTATTGTTTCATATCGTAATAATTGTTTTTTTCTTCAGCAACGATTTACTATTTATTTAGTTATACTAAATAATAATTAATTCTAATGTTTTTGCAGCGATCGATTGTACGACGGACAGGAAAACGGCGATGGAAGGTCAAATGCATATGGAAGAAAAGTTTTACGTTCCACAATGCACACCCGATGGGAGATACCTCCGAATACAATGTTACTCGGGTTATTGCTGGTGCGTATATCAAGATACGGGCAAACCTATACCAGGAACATCCGGTAAAAGTCCCGTTCCGAATTGCAACCCAGTCCCAACTCCTAGCAGACCTATGAAAGGCAAGTATATCGAAGTTCCATTACTATTTTGTTGCTTTTTTAAAAATTATACATTACAATTATTTTGAACTAGATATTACAAAACGGACTTCTCGTCCCGTATCTTACAATCTTTATCTGGCATGTATGTTTTATATACCGACTTTAATTATGTAATACCGACAGGATGCCCAGAGTCGAAAAAACAACTATTTCTCCGAGATCTAATGGACCTTATGCAAACGAAGATGAGGGCATCGAACACCGATTCCGATGAGACTACCGCCAAGTGGCCAGCTTCTAAAGAGGAGAGGATAGCTACGTGGCATTTTGTGATGCTTGATAAGAATAAAAATAAGGTGGGATACTGAACGACAAAATTATTTAACGAAAGGCAATTGTGCCTGCATTTCTTTATCTTTAAGAATACGTTTAGATAATCGTTTAAGAGCTAGAGAGCTAGAGATCTCAAAGCTCTCTCTTTATTATATTTTAAACAAATGCTTGTAAATAAAATCATACGGAATTAAGTATATCGTTTATCCTTAATCGGTTGCATTAGAAAAAAAGAAATGTGTAGAAGAAATATAGATCAGCATTTTGTAAAGCAACAGTTGGCCGATGGAATATTAAACTAATCACTTGGGATGTAAGAATTAATTTGTATAATTGTCATATTGCGTAGGTCTTAGAGAGAAAAGAATGGAAGAGTTTTCGCGTGATGGTGGCAAGTAACAGGCAGCTTCGGAGATGTGGTAAGAAGTTGCCGAGATACTGCGACATCAACAACGACAGAAGGATCAGCATGACAGAGTGGCTCAGCTGTCTAAATGCTCAACGTCCAACAACAAGTAATCTATTACGTTACTTCATTTTTCTACTTCACTTATTTCTATCTTCTTGTTTAGTTACAGTTTTTATATATAGCATACATATTATAGGGATCTCTGTGAATTCAGTTGATAAAGGAATTATAACTTTTTTATAAATCATCCGCAGTGTAAAAAACGGCGTTAATTTAATTTACTTATATCCTGCGATATGTATATTTTTTGAATGCATATTGATTTGAATCTATGTATATTCAACTGTCGTACTACTGATTTTTAATAAGTTTCAAACGCGTTTCAGGCGACATGGAGAAAGCATCGACGAGTAAACCGAAGAGGACGGGTCCAAATCCATTAGACAAGTTTCTCAATGGCGATGATTAGCAGCATAATGTGATAATAAAGTGTGTTCGTGATTTTGTAAAGGGACGATAATCCTTTTCGCTGTTGAACTCTAAATCAGTTGCTGTTGAAGACTCTGGTTTATAATGTATTTTGTAACCATTAATGTGGATATAACTGATATGTCATACAGTGAAATAACATAACGACGAATTTGATCGTAAGACAAACATGTAAGCATAATTTTCTAGATTTTATCAATCGTTATTATAAACATAAATAAACATGTTGTAGCACATGTTGAACTATTTGCACATCAGCGTACCAGCGTATCGAATATCGATATAATAATTGACATAAAATTTCTAAGATAGCTGAAATGTATCTATAATACGACATACGAAGTATTCGGCTGACCATGCTACAATAATGCGTAAATATCAGGTGAATCGACAAACTCACCTGGTTTGCTTACAACTACGCGATGTATTAGACAAATTAGTTATGCAGCTTATAAACTCACATATTGACGTAATTATACGATAAGTAATTAACTGCCATTTTGAGAGGTTTTGATTTTGTATTGCAAGATTTTTTTTGGTTTGAAATTAAAATCAGAAAGAAATCTTGTATGTTATTTTAAGCAGAAATTAGAGAAATACTTAGTTGAATGATTATTTTTGCTTAAATATCAGAGTAGAATTTTGTTTATATATTTTTTTAAGAAGACTGTAATCCTTACTTTATCAGTGCCAATTTTTTGTTAATAAATTGACATTTCTATATTGATATAAAATAAAAATGAATTACAAACAGAATGAATCCAAAAAGGAAATGAGGATTGAAAATATTTCCATTACATTTGACAAAAAAATTGATAATCTAATTTATATTCGTAAGACCTACAAAATTACTGTATAAATGTATATAATTAACAATAATAAAATAAAAAAAACGAAATTATTAATTTTCATTAAATATAGAAATACGAGATAATAGAATTTTTTAATTTATATATATAATAAATATGGAATTTATTTTTACAGCTTTATTTTTGCATATGCATATAAATATTAATGTTATAAAAATTAATGTTAAAGAAAATAAATTATAAGAAATCCTGAGATCTTTGAATTTTTAATACGTCATCATGACAATACTTCCTCTATCTTGATGATTTATAAAATTAATAAGTTTAAATATTTTTTTCTGGCATACGACAGATATTTTAGAAAATAGGTTCTTCCAAATGTTTTCACCAAATACAGATTCAAAAAAATAAATATACTTAGTTCTAATTTTAATAGCTCAGAGATACTGACTTTTGACGATCTAACAATAATTTGTATGAAAAACTCCTTCAATAGATGAAAAGTGTGAAGCATAGTTATTTGAGTTTTGAGCAGCCATAATACGACATGGCCGATATTTTATTCGACATTTCCAGTTACTAAATATTTATTTTCGATAGTTTTCTAATAATATTGAGTATGAGACTAAGTTTTAATCGTTTTTTTATGTAGACATAAAACATAGCTTAAATATGAAAATATTAAATAATTTTATTCAAAATATTTTCCATCTGAAGCGACAACCTTCGCCCATCTTTCGGACAATAAACAGATTCCTCGAGTGAAGAATTCTATTTCTATTTCTTTCGAGGCGATCCAGTCATTGACTCATTTTTGTATGCTGTCATATGAGGTGAAGCGCTTTCCAGTAAGTGCCGACTGCATCGACCGGAACGAATGATAGTGTGAAGGGGCAATGTCTGGTGAATACGGCGGGTGGGGTAGGACCTCCCATTTCACCCCTTCTAGGTATGTCCGGACGGATTGACCAATGTGGCCTAGCGTTGTCGTGCTGCAAAATCAGCTTCTCGTGTCTATCGCGCCATTTCGGCCGTTTTTCTTGAATAGCTTGTTTCAAACGTATTAGTTGAAGTCGGTAACGTTGGGAATTGATAGTTTCGGACGGTTTCAGCAGCTCATAGTAGACTACATCCTGCATATCCCACCAGATACAGAGTATGACCTTTGACCCGTGAATATTGCGCTTTGGCGTTGATGGACCTGGTTCACCTGGCTTCACCCATGCTAGTTTGCGTTTAGGATTGTCGTAGTGAATCCATTTTTCATCGCCAGTGATGATCTGATGCAAAAAACTCTTTCTTTCTTGTCGTTGAAGCAACATTTCGCACGTGACCAAGCGCCTTTCAATGTCCCTTTCCTTCAACTCGTGTGGTACCCAATTTCCTGCCTTCTGAACTATTCCCAGCGCATGTAGGCATTTTCCAACGGTGGATCGATCAACATCCAATGCTGCAGACAATTTTTCAAGTGTCTGACATGGATCAATATCAAGCAATTTCTCAAGCTCCTCAATTTGGAACCTTTTTGAGGCACCATCGCCTTCTTTGTCGTTGACATCGAAATCACCTCTTTTGAAGCGTTGGAACCAATATCTGCAAGTTGGCTCCGATGGAGCATGGTCGCCGTAAACATCCACAAGCAAACGGCACGTTTCCGCAGCACTTTTCTTCAAAAGATAGTAGTGGAGAAGAACTTCCCGCAAATGCTGCTTTTTTGGAACAAATTCCGACATTTTCGATGCGATATGAATACTTGCTGTTTGCACTCCAAACAAAAGTCTTATACTGCGTTTAACAGCTTACATATACACCTTTTAAATCCATGTATCGAAAGGTTAGAAAAGATGCAAGCGATACTATTAATGCCATCTATGGGGAAACGATTAAAACTTATTCCCATACCCATATTTCTTTATGATGAACGTGCAAATCTTATGGTCTGTTCTTTGTAGCTGCACTGCTGAACTGGTGCAATAAGCTAGAGTGAGAAAACCTATATTTGTCTCACTTTAACTTATTGCACCAGTTCAACAGTGCAGCTACAAAGAACGGACCATTATTTTCGGCACTCCCGATGGTAATTCAGACGTGAGACATTTTTGATAAGCTAAAATCGTGAGAAATATGAAATGGCTTGTTGTGTGTGTATAAATCATTGCACCTCGACCGTCCCACAATTACTTGAACATTATAGCAATTGAGTTTTTCGAAACATATCGATACATTTGATGTAGAGCAATTTGGCCAATCATATTGCTTTATTTAATTTTTAAAAGCATCAAATACATCAAAATACCCGAGAGGTCTGATATTTGAAAAATATTAAAAATTTTACTGTAACAAATTTATAAAATTTTATAACAAATCCATGAAGACTACATTCGATATTATTAATAACGGTCGCTCGCGAGGTGTTTTTTCTGTAAGCCGAAAGCGTAAAGTGCAGCACTCAATCATAGAATATTTATATCTAAACATGACTTGATATGATATTTTATCATTACAAATACTACGAAACTTATCTTCCCTATTTCCGACGATAATTTGTATGTAAACCTTTGTTGAATTTTGCATTATAAATTAATCGCTGCGAAATTCTCACGTAATAAATCGAATATTGCAACGAATGAGCCGAATATTGCAACGATTAAGATTCTCGAAGTAATGATATACTTGTTAATTATGATTATTTATTTGTTCATTATATTCGTACAATCCCATGTACAAGTGATTTATATAATCTTAATGTCCAAAATGCTAAATTAATTACGGAGTCAAAGAATTACGGCATCATATAAGTAGTTAAATGTGAAAACAACGTCTAATGTCACTGCGCTTGCGTTGAATTTATTCCTTCGTCCGAAAACATCATGTTCGACAGTTTTGGCGCCAAGAGCAACTAGGAATACCCAGGCGTATGTAAGATGGAAAAAAAAGAGTCTTTGTTGGAGCTGTTTCAGGATTTAGGCTGCACAGTTGAAAGCCCAGCTATTCTTGAGAAATGTGAGTATTATTTCGATTCTATTCATAAGGATGTATGCGTCGAAGATTTCTCGTCAAAATAATAGTCCTCATATGTCGCGAACTGCGTTGCAATTTAGGTTTATCATTTTACGAGAAATGTGAGATTTCTTGATATTTTTAATTTAATTACGTTAAAAATAAAATCATTGTATTTTGTGTGATCGATTGGACATATCTTTTATAGAATAACAGTCACTAAATGTGCATATAAAGAGGTTATTTCTCTTTCGTTATAACCTTAATGTTACATTGATCAACATATATACACAATATTGAAAAGAATTGTTAGTTAACTTTGATTATATTTAGGGATTTACTTTATGTATTAATATTGATCCTACAGTAATGCAAAGGATTAAATTGTAATCAGAATTACAATGTTAATACAATTCTTTTTGTCCTTCGCATTGATAGGAAAATTATATTTCTTTATTTGTATATTATAAAAATCATTTATATCGAAAATATTAAAAAATGAATGGATAATATTATTGGGAAACAAAGGTAATATTTTCATTGGAATTAATTATTGTAACGTTTATCTTGCAGGCTTTGAGCTATGTGAATCATACAATGTGGATGTGGAAAAGCTTACTGAATTGTGGCTCACATTTTGTGTCAATAATGACAACAATATTGATCCTACTATCGATGCTCTTATTGAATTGGAAAATACAGTATTGAAAAAAGATTACAAGTCAGATAACTTAACCAAGGAAAATTGTGTGGAACCACAACAAGATGCAAAGGATGAACATTTTATTGAGAATGAAGCTTTGTATCCTTTAATATTTTTCAATTTTTTGTTTCATCCTGAAACAGACAACTATAATATTTCTTTGTCTATAATCATTAATATAACTATAGAACCTTACATATGATTATTATAGTGAAAGCGATGATGTACTTAGCATGTATGGCTGTTCTGAGATCCAACCATCGAAGGTAAGTTTTCATATGTGCTTTTCTCTATTAATTCATATAAAAAATAGTGATACAATTTCAACCAAAGTCTCTCCAAATCCCATATTGACAAAACTAATCTACCAAATTATAAATATATTTTTAGAGATCTAAATTTTATTTTAGAGATCTAAATTTTATTTAGAGATAATATATGCAACATATTTATATAGTATCTATAATTCATTTAATCTTATATTTTAAATCTTTAATCTCTTCTATTTATAGATTATAAATTTATATAGAGATCTAAATTTTATTTAAAAATAATATATATGCAACATATACTTACATACAGTGTCTACCTATAATTCATTTAATCTTATATTTTAAATCTTTAATCTCTTTGAATATGAACTACAAATATTCCATATAGCAGAAATATATCATAGGGATATTCTAAGAATATCACAATATCTTTAGAACATCTCTGTGATATATTTTGAATATTTCTGCTGTGTGAGATATTTCTCTAATTCTTCTATTTCAGTAATATACTCAATGAATTATAATTAAATTAGCAATTAAGTAAGAAAGAATAGTACAAGATTGTCAGATGTCGGTATGTTAATATATAATTAAAAATTAATTTTTATATTTGTTTTCTATATAAATCACAGGTGATAGCTTTATAAAGATATATTCTTTTTCATATTATGTAATATGTACATATATGTTTATAGTGATTTATATTGAATCTTTATATTTCTCTTTCGTGGTATTATATGCTGAATCACTTAATATATACGTTGCAGTTGACGCAAACATCTCTATTAAAACTCGTTACTTTTTTTCTATGTGCATAATTGCGAGTGTTGTATTATTACGGCAGAATCAACTGCGTAGATCTCTGCATTTCAGTAAATCTTTATTAACAAAACGCAATGATAATGCTTTATCTGTTGAATTTTCGCGATTTTTATCTTGATTCGTATTTTTATGTTTTAATCATCTCTCTTTCCAATGCTACTCCGTTTTAGGCATAAATTTTTTTTAGAATACAGAGTATTCACATATATGATATTCCTTGGAAGTTGATGACTGTCTATTTTAACTTAAATAAATGACTTCGTATCCTTTCGTAGAAACGCCGTGACGGAGTAGCATTGTTCCGGCAGGCAGTTCGGTACGAGGATGATTTACGTCGTTCTGGCAACACTGCCTCGCATTCTTCGCGCGGTCGATCCTCGGTCGATCTATAGTATGCCTGTTGTCTTTCTCCAACTCGCTTGTTGTATACGACCTCATGTTCTTTTCGCAACACCACGCTGCGTTCGCAAAAAGAACGTGCCTCTGTGCGAATTTTTTCTGTTAGCCATCCGTGTTGGAAATTTTGTTCGATCGTAGCAACGAAATTTTCGAAACATCGCATCGCGCGCATTCCATTTGCCAGCAGGTGATCTCTCTCTCTCTCTCTCTCTCTCTCTCTCTCTCTCTCTCTCTCTCTCTCTCTCTCTCTCTCTCTCTCTCTCTCTCTCTCTCTCTCTCTCTCTCTCTCTCTCTCTCTCTCTCTCTCTCTCTCTCTCTCTCTCTCTCTCCCTCCCCCCTCTCTCCCTCTCTCTCTCTCTCTCTCTTTCTCTCTTTCTCTCTTTCTCCCTCTCGTTCTTCGGGGGGCATAGAAAGAAGAAGCAGCGGCGTCGTTATAAGATCTCGCGTGTTGGTACTGTAATTCCCGCCACAAAAATCACCCAGGTAGATTACCCCGCCGTTATCCCCACCGCGCTGTCGCCCCGCTTTCTCTCTTACAAAGGATACTCGGGAGGTCGGGGAGGGAAGGGAGCGACTCGTTTCTATTGGCGGAACGAGGACAGAGTGTGTTGCTCCGACGGGAGAGGGATCTCCCTCTCCTTCCCTCCCCGATCACTGAGAGAGCCGAGCAGATTTCTTTCGAAGGGCACGATTTCAGTTTTCAAGGACCCCGTTGTACTGTCTGTTGTAGCTCGTCGTTCGTGTTCACGCGCACGTCACTTCGGCGGACAAAGCATCGGATAATCCGCCGGGGTGGCCGCATCTCGTTTCTCATTTAACGCTCGTCTTGCTGATGTACATCGTAATTGTATCTTTATCGTCACGGTGATACAAGCTCGGCTCGGTATCTCGATGGCGTCGCCGACGCGACGCCACCATCGGCGACTGTGATCGAGAACGACCGCCAGTTTTCTTCCGATTTCCATCACGTTTGATCAAAATATGGTCCTGATCGACTCGCAGATCACGAAATCTCGGATATTCTACCGGTCGTGTGTTCTCGTTAAGGAGATTTGCGGAGAAGAGTGTAGACGGTGGTTACGTGGTTGAGAGAGGGAGAGAGAGGAAGAACGATGTAGAAAGAGAGAGAGAGCGCCAAGCGAGCGGCGACGTTGGCGGCCATGATGGATTTCGGCGCGAGTGAAGCTCGAGAACGCGAGTCGTTTCCGTTGCCGATCGTGCGGCGATTTGTTCGGTATCGTTCGGCGAGGAGTCGGCCGGATATCGCGTTCGTTCACGATAAATGGGATACGCGTCATCGTGAACATGGAGACCAATGGGTCAGCAGATGATACAATGGGTACGCTGGAGAAATACGGTTCCTCCAACGATTAACCTCGCTTTCACGCGAGCGTTACGCGACCTGAGCGCGCATGCGCGGTCGTGGGAAAGGAAGCTGCGGCGCAGCGTGCAGCGCGCAGGCATACGAGTGCGTCGACCGTTCGTTCGGTGAATCCTGGATCGCGCTGCCTGTTGCTGCAACCTGTTGCACCGACGATGAATGGTATCACGCGACAATAGGAATGCAATAATTAACGTAAGATTCTTTCCGGTGTATCTGTGGTATTACTGAAAGTTAAACTGACGGATATTGCATCAGTTTTGATTTTAGTATCTAAATCTCTTCAATTATACATTGCGTTTTACAGAAAATAAGCTCTTACCGGGAAATTTGTAAATGAAATTTGACTATAATGAATTTTGCGAACGTCATATGCACGTGTCTTTTAAAAAATAGAATATTTATAGTAAAAATGTTTTTTCGATCTCCATTTTATTCCTAAAGATCATTCTACAATGCGTGTCGTAAGTTGTAAGCCGTAAGAACTGACCAATTATAGCCAATTATTTTTGTAATAATCGACTTTGATTCGCCAATTCTTACGGCTTACAACTTACGACATATATTGTAGAATTACCTTAAGATTAAAAATTTTTGGAGATTAATTGTTCACTCAGGATTGAAGATTCTTATGATTTATTTCTGTAAAATCAGTGATTATCTTATTACAACTAATGGAAGATAATATTGTTCTGCAAACTTCCAGCTCGAATTTCTGAGGTATGTAAATTTTCCAATAGATAAACTTAGATTATATTTGATACTTTGGTTTTTAAAGCTTGTCACAGTTTCTAGATATTAATCGTTCAATGTCAAAATTTAATTGTTTTATCTAAAATCAAGAAGCTCGATACTGTCATCTTCACTTTTAGTTTTTCTGTGAATGCATCAAGTCTTTCTGAGCATACTGAGTAAAAGTCGTAAATGTAAATTAAGATTGCAAAACTTGACTGTTTCAACGTGTGACGTTAAAAAAAGTAAATTTTTTTGTCCGAAATCTTTCACCATGTTAGACCTGCTTTCCTTGCGTTACTATTTGTTCGTTCGTTCGTTCGTTCGTCCGTCGACCGCTGCCCCTACATAACTTTCTTTGATCGGGGAATCGACAGCTGTCTGTACGTACTGCATTCCTGCCGATAAGCAATATGAATAACTCACATTCCATATTAGATATCGCGTTCTTCGAGCACACGGTTTCCTCGTGCACCCGTCCGCCCGTTCGTGGTGTCTCCGCCAATTAAGTGCAATTGAACAACAACTGTTACCAATCTCTTCCCTCGCCCGCACGGCTTTCGGTCCGTCACGCTTTTCTTTCATCTCTATTCTTCGTATCATGTGGTGCGTGACTCAGATGAGACAGATCAATATATATATATATCTATATATATATATATATATATTTGTGTGCATTCTCTGAACGAACGAACGCGGTTGCTCGGTCGACTGGTCGTGGCGGTTAGCAGTAGCCCCCTTCTTCGTCGGTGGCGAAGCACGAGTGTAACTGGCCAAAATCGAACGTACTTTCCCACGGTTCGGGAACAACCGAACGAAAGGTGTCAAGGATGGTCGAAACAAGTCGGATACAGCAGAGGAGTGAAATGACAAGGAAGGGAAAGGACAGCGCCGTATCATTCGACGTTGGATACCTCTCGTTCCGTAAATAACGATAGGATTGATCTGACTACATGACAAACGGCGCGAGTCGTTTTGGAAGTCGCGCAAGTACCGAAATTGGAAAATTCTTACTCCTTCGGAAGGTTTCAAATGTCTGGAACTTATGCTTGAAGCTTCAAGAATCTTCAAGTTCAAATATAGTATACAGAAGTTTTGACGTCGATTATACACTTGAATCTTGAGATAAATTCAAACCAGATAAACATTGATACAGCTGTGATTAAACTTAACTTCCGAAACTATAGATAAATACGGGACAGAGACGAGGAATCTCGCTAGAGGAAAAACCCTGATTGTCATGTTTCGTTTGTCACGGATAGACACAGAGGTCGTTTTCGCATATTGTAGCATCGAAATCTGATCTCACCGGGGTAATACCGGTTTCAACTTCTCTCTTTTGAAGTACCGAAATATATCTCGTCAGCAATCCAAGATTCTTTTTGTCGAGAGGCTGAAATATATTTTTGTCAGGGGATCCAGGGGTCTCTTGCCAGGTACGTTTTGGGTCCGGGTGAGAGAGCACGCAAGATATGTTTCCGCCGGGGATAAAAAGTTTGTTGCTTCGCTGTTGGCACGAAACCTTCGCAGTTCGTTGCGTGTCCATAGCAAGAGACAGTGAAAAGGAATGAGAGGTAGGGACATGTCACGTGCGAAGCGACGTTACTCGTAACGTGCACGACTGTGGAGGCATGCTGCAGCAGGAGCGAAACGGTCAACTGGATCTCGAATGGATCGGATAGCTTCGGACGCGCGCGAGTTGGGACCTTCTCCGAACTTGATTGAAACAATGCGTAATAAAGCGGGCGTTAAGAGCGGCCAGGTTAATCGCAGTTGACCTTTCTCATGTAGAGTCGCTCGTCAGCAACGTCCACTGCTGTCTGCGGAGCTAACGTGTATCTGTGAAATCGAGCATGCCACATGCGCCGGAAAGAACCACGAAGAAGAGGAACGACAATGGGAGAAGACAGAGCCGAGCGGAACGAATCCGTCCGAATTTGCCGAATGAGTGGTGGTCTAGTGCACGGTTCGTTAAAGTTGTGACTAGATCCACACTCATTAAGCACGCTCGGGCACCGCGTCGCAGCACGCGTAACAATCATCAAGATCGAGACGTCGTATAATGCTGTACGACGATACGGCGATAGTGATTCTCGACTCTCGAGTCAAGTGTGTTTTCGAGCATTCGCTCTTCTTGTAAGTCGAGATGTTTTATTTGTAGAATGCATCGAGAATCTTTCGGTGTTTTTTAAATGCAGAACAAGGATTCTGCACGACATCCGATCCGATTGCTGTTATCGACTAAACGTACGACGCGTGTTGTATATAATAGAGGAGGAAGAAAGCAATTCCATAGACGAGTATGAATGTGGTGCACGTTCTTGTTATGTCATTTCGTGACTAGATACATACTCGTCTACGGTATCTGTCTTGGTATCGGGATTTCGTAAGATCAAATCTTGGGATTTGAGTTTCACCGACTACGAGAAGCTCTTGTTTAGCTACAGGATTGATATAATGATAATCGCTTAAAATTGTAACGATTCTATTCTTATTGTAATTAAGAAGTCTTGTAAAAAATTGAAATATGATGCTTTAAAGTAATAAAGTAATAAGTAGTAAATTCGACAAAGTAAACTTGCTTGCTTGTAATTTTTCCAATTCGATCCAATAAGGTCATATAAGATTTTTTGATTAAACCTGTAATAAATCAATTTTCATCAAGAATCATATGCGTGTTAGAAAAAGCATTTATTTATATTGGCGTCAGTCACAATAGCGATAATTTTCGTAGATCCACTTGAGCGTTCGTTTGAGGTGTGTAACGTATCGGTTTCTTTGTTTCATTGTAGCACACGAAAGTACAAAAAAATGTGGAAGTAGAGACAAACGTGGATATTCGGACTAGTAACACAACGAAAACTGCAGAGTTTTTACCAGCTAGTCACGCCGAGAACTCGTAAGCAAGCTAAAGAAGTAAATTTTATCTTTAATGTCAAAAAATTCGGGTGTCATTCTAAAATAAAAAAATTAGAAACATTGGTTACATAGGGTGAGGAAAAAATACCGGAACAGCGAAATATCTCGAAAACCAGGCATTTCAGAAAAAAAGTTTCGAATTAAAGTTGTATGATTTCAAAGGGGACGTAAAACAATATATCATTTTGTTTACAAATGGCACTACTTTCTAGATATTCTGATCATTATTTTTTTTTAATGGAAATCTAATTTTTTATTACACCGTCTTTTTCTACCAATTAATTTGAACAACTTTTGTCTGAAACATTCCTTTATTTGCCTAATATTTTTTTAGATATTTAAAGGAAATTTAATAACTTTTTAAATATTTAACTTACGATACCTCGCCATTTGTCGGAAAAAAGTGGTACTAGACTTTTTTGCTCTATTTGGTCTCAAGAATATATTGTTACAATAGCGCCCTGACTTTTATCCTTAATTTGAAATTTCCAAAAGTCAGTAAGTTAACAACATAACGCTTAATATAAAAATTGTAATATAAAATGTCATTTCGCATACCTAGCGAATATATTGCACATGTTTACAAACGTATTCTCGCAAAGTCGCTTTATTGTTGTATACTCAAAAGCGCAGCGCTCAGCCAGCGCAATGCAACAGACAAAGGGAAGATTTTACTCTCCACCAATGAGAAGAAAATTGCGGTGTCTTGGAAAAGGACAGGAAATTACGATGTTGAAGTCACGAAGTCCGACGAGCCGCACATTCCCAGCGACGCCAGATACATGTACGAGATCCTGTCGAAGCAAGGGAATCTCCTCACCTTCGTCTGCCGCAATCTGGGCAACAAACTGTTCAAGACGTGGTCGGCGACGAAGGGCAAGGACGTATCAGCTGATCTGAGATATGTGAAAAACGTACGAAGCGTGAATCAGACGTATTTCCGCACCTTCGGCCGCATCAGCACGAACAAGCAATCTGCGAATATGGTGACGTTGGAAGGTTGCACGAGGCGAAAGGGTACCTCAGTGGCCGACTCGATCGAGCTAGACTTTCGGAACGTCAAGCATTATTCCGTGTTTTCCGGCCAGATCGTGGCTGTCGAGGCTACGAATCCAGTGGGCGATGTGCTCTACGTAAAGGAGATTTTCGCGAAAGCGTACGCGCCGCCGGCATGCGCGCCTAGGATCGAGGCAAACGTCAACATTTTCGTCGCGGCGGGCCCATTCACCGCATCGAACAATATGCATTATCAGCCATTGTGGGACTTGATGGAGAAGGTCGCATCTGATGAGCCGCATATCCTAGTGCTCGTTGGGCCTTTTCTCGAATACACTCATCCTGAGATACAGGACGGTCTCGTTAAGGACACGCATCAGGAACTCTTTGAGAAGACTCTCACGAGGATAATGGAATCGGCAAAGTAAGACGCAGGATATTTAATTTATTCATATCTGCTTTTGATAGCGAATCCTTAAAATTTTTTAGCTAATTTTTTTCTTTACGGAAGTGTCGCGACATTATTTGCAGATGATAAACAACCGGAAATAATAACTAATATCACTCTTCGTGACATCTTTTGAGTAAGCAGGTTCTAAGCATAATTTTCTATTGTGTGATATTACAGGAGGAGCACGCAAGTTGTGTTGGTGACTTCTAATCGCGATGCGCACCATGAGCCTATTTTTCCAACTCCGCAGTACACAGTTTTTGACAAAAAGTTGCTTCAAAATTATTCAAACTTAAAGTTGATGCCGGATCCCTGTATATTGGATATCTTTGGCTTAAAAATTGGTGTTACATCAGTTGATGTTATTAAACATATTGGCAAAGAAGAGATTTCGTAAGTATCTTTTTATTTACATAAGTAATTTGACGAAACCAAAGCGTGAATTATAGGAGAAAAAATTCAATTAGTAAGAAATTCAATAAAAACATGTTTGTACAAGATTTCTTTTAAAACAAATGAATGAATGTTATTTTCAGTAACATATCTGGCATGGATAGGCTCAGTCGCCTAGCTGATCATGTGCTGGCACAAACATGCTTCTATCCTGTTTATCCTTCGTCTGAAGATCTGAACGTAGACACGGAACTGTGGGAGAAATATGCGTTTTTTGATCAACAACCGCACATATTAATTCTGCCGTCTGACATGCGATGTTACTGCAAAGTAATCCACGAGTGCGTGATTCTTAATCCAGAACGCATGCATAAAAACACATACGCTAGGTTATGCGTAAAACCTGTTTTTCACGGCAAATGGAGTTCTGATAACATCTTGTGCGAGATTGTTAAAGTTTGATGACTCTAAGGTACACCATAGAAACGATATCTCGACTGAGTATCTTTTAAATGAAGGGTTCATTGTAACAGTGTTTAACGAAATTTTTCGAACAGCCGATTTTACTTTTTTAAAAATCGAAGAAAATAAATTCGAATTTAGAAATTACGATGAAATATTGAAAAATAAAAGCTGAATGTAGAAATTAATTTGATTCGATCTTAGAAATAATTTTCTTAAATTTTGACAAAGTTGATTAGGCTATATAGATATATTGTTACATTGAACCGTTTCGATTGTTCGATAGTTGATTGAAAAATATATCCGATATATCATAACGCGAACGTGATTGAGTATTTTTATATTGATCGAAGATTCATACGAAGTGATGTTTTAGGATCATATGTTAGGCATGTTAAGATAAACATACGTTGTTTAGTTCTTCCATCTTCACATCGTATATTTTTTTAACAAACGTCAAAGTACATACATTTTTCCTGAATTATTAAATTTAATTTGTTCTTAAATAGAATCCGTTTCTTAATTATTTCCTCATGGCATCTATCATTTATATGAGGACGCAATCAATCGATGTTTATTTATCCTCATTTACCTTCGATGTCCTTTCTTTAAATGTTTTCATTAAAATAGAATAATTAAAAAGAAAGAAAGGAAATAAAAATGCATGGGATGTCAGGTCTGTTTTAATTACTTCAATAAATTTATGTACCTCAATAAATTGAAGTATAGAGGGAGGTGCGTATTTTGTCACGGTTCCGATAGAAAGATATTCTACACGACGAAGTGTAGAGAGTACAAGTAGAACGAACAGACCTCTTATCCCGTCGACTTCAGACATCTTCCGATCGGTCTCAGCATCTCGCGCGCGATGGCGCCACATGCTCGATAACGCTCTCCCCCCGCGCAGTTCTCCCGGAGTTTCGGTCGCTGGTGGACGGCAGAGGCGGCCATTAATCGAGTATTTTGCCGTGAATACGAACGGCCGCAGCTCGCAGCGCAATGGGGAAATCGCGATCGAGCTGGTGAGCATTCCGGTAAGTAAGAATAGTCTGCAATGATAAGCTCACGCGTGTTTGGAATCGTGAGAACATCGTCGTCGCACGACGGCCAATATATCGACGATCTGCCAAATCGTCGACCGCCATCTTTCCTGCGAGCTCGTTTACACATGTACACTGTGTGTGCGCGCGTGTGTGACCCTTACGCATTATTTTTATTTCCTTTTTTTCCTTAATCATTCGCCTTATTTCGCTCTTGCGTCACGGAATATTCGAAGCATGCACGAGAGAGTTGGCCTTGATCCCCTCGGGGATCGCTCTCTGAAGTTAGCCGCGTTACGAGCGCGATCGCCATCGATCGAATCAGCAGTGCATGCCTCGTGAAACATCTCCCGGAAGAGTCTCCTATGACGAATAACCGAGAAAATATTTCCCGACGCTTATCCTTGAAACTATTGATTGTGTTGAAGATGCATTTCGATGCGATTTCATCGTTGCTCGAGATATATCGGCGAAATTTCCATAGCAATGTATTATGAAACAATTACGTAGGCGTTACATATGAAACTATCGGTCGCGCTGATACATCAGCTGGCATATCACCCGCGAAAATCGCATCGTGAAAATTGCGTTTCGATTCGAAATTTCGATACCTAGTATCGACAGATGGCCGCGTGAATATCTTCATTACCGACAGCTACTTCAGCATGCAATGGCAGTGCATTATTTACTCGATTCCAGCAAGTTGTTGCACACGTGACAAATATTGAAGAAAGGTACATGGTATTTATCGCTTCTCCCTATGCTACTCGTTATAATTGTATATTGAGACATGAATATTCAAAAGAACGAAATCCTGTATGCGTTGCAGGATTAATAGTAGAAGAGGTACGCTAGGACTCGATAGATCCTAAACCTTTAACCCACGAGAACGATGACACATATTTTCATACTTTAAGGCTGACGCAGGGTATGCTGCGCTTATCGGAATAGACTGATGGGAGTGAAAAGACGGGGTAAGTGCGAAAAAAATTCCTTTCGCGCATGTTCGATGATTTCATAACTTTGGTATAAGAAATCATTCAAGACGGATCCTCGAAAATTTTACCCATCCTAATCTCTATCTCTCGTGCAATAACATCTGCAAAAAATAATCTAGTTTTTTTATATTACTTTATGTCCATATAGCTGAGTGAATGAAAATTGCTCGTCGCGTGCTTCAATGTATTTTATTACAGATCGTGTGTGTGTGTGTGTGTGTGTGTGTGTGTGTGTGTGTGTGTGTGTGTGTGTGTGTGTATGAAGCAGTTTCTAATTTATTATATTATGTAACATATTTTCGTACATGTATTTGATAATACTTATCGCGACAATATTTTATAGATTTGTTTTATTGATTATTTTATTGATTATTATTCTTGGTCATCGTATCTCGTTTCAGATCAGAAATCGGGACCGGTATAATTTGACAGAATACAAAGTACAATGCCACGCACATGCGACGGCATGTTTACATTTATTATTTACGAGTAAACGAAACGCGGCGATTATCACGCGGTTTGCTCCTTTCTCGCGCGTTGTCCGTTGCATCAGAAATCGAACTCGTCGAAATTACGCCAGTTTCAGTCTCTGTTTTAGACGTGGCAGGCACGTGTGTGCGTCTACATCGGGAATGCGAGAAAGTGAGAGTGCTATATCGATCCGGTTTGCGCGAAGTCTACCTACCTCAACCCTAGCATCGCGCATACATCGGCCGATAGTCTGGTGCCACTGGCACCGACTCTGTTATTCTTTCTTTTTTCATATCGGTAAAACTTTCGCGTAAACGCGAATGTCCTGTCTCCCTTTCCTCGATGTTTTCCACACCGCGATATCGAGCTGTTCTTTGCCGTACCGTACTCTTCGAGTACGATAAATTCTCCAAGTCCTCGCGTTTGGTATTCGTAAGTTGTCGTGATAAACATACGTTACGGGCACTCGATTGCCGATTTATCTGTTGAGATTTACGTATTTTAGGTTAATTCGAGAGTAGAACGTCCCGTCTCGTCAAGACACTCAGGACTCTGTTCGTTTAGATTACATGTCTCTGCATTCTCCGCGTGGGTGGTTAAACGAACAAGTATGCATCCGAATGTTTGGAAGAAGGTACGAAGAAAAAACCGGGCACAGAAAGCAATATGTGGTTGAGTCGAACAGAGCCCCAAAGTAATCGCGTGGTTATCCGATCAGTCGCTTTAGTTCGCTACGTGGATGAGAGAAGGATCATTTATGACGACGACGACAACAACGACGACGACAACGACGCCGACGACGACGACGACGCCGACGACGACGACGACGACGACGACGATGACGACGACGACGACGACGACGACGACGACGACGACGATAACCGACGTCGCCACTTCCGCCGCCACCACCAGTACCACCACTATCGCCGCCATCGTCGTCGCAGTCGCCGTCGTCATCGTCTCGTCATCATCGTCGTCTGTAGACGAGAGTCCGATATGTCTACGCCGGTGGGCTGTTTTGGGTGGGCGACGCCGCGGTGGCTGTGCGCAAAAACGGCGACAGTCAAGTTCAAGGCCACCGACGTTTTCCCTCTTCCCGCCTTGCCCTCCTCCTCCTCCTCCTCCTCCTCCTCCTCCTCCTCCTGAACTCACTCTTTCTTCCCCGCCAGCCGCGACTCTCGTCGCGCCCGCCGTCGCGTTTACCGCCCCCGCCGCCCGCTCAACCAACCGACAGACCGACAACCAACCAACCAACCAACCAACTATCCAACCAACTAACCAACCAACCAACCAATCATCCAACCATCCACTCACTCACTCACCTACTCGTGATATACACTCGGTGTGTCTAACGTCAGTAGCGTATCGAGTCGGGGCCTCTTCGCGCTCACTTCGTGATGAGGCTTGCGACGGCGAAGCCGAAACACGAAAGCAGCGGCTCAACGCGACAGGATGGGAGTGTTTCGCTCGATCGATCTATACCCGCCCGCACGCCCACTTTATCCGCGAAGGAAAATTCAATTCATTCGTACGTACGCAAATGCGGTTCGGCATGGTGCTCGGAATACGTGGAATAGACAGGGAGCGTCACGAGACAGCGCGTTACGTGATCGTCGTCGAGAGAGAGAGAGAGAGAGAGAGAGAGAGAGAGAGAGAGAGAGAGAGAGAGAGAGAGAGAGAGAGAGAGAGAGAGAGAGAGAGAGAGAGGGTGAGGGGGTGGGGATACGTCTTTGAGATACCGTTCCTTTCCTAGGCAAGATCTACGGATCTATTCTTCTGTAGGTCGAGGACAACGATGATGGTTGTTGAGCCGTTAACGAGTCCGCTCTGGGGGGTAATAAAGTAGTGCAACGTGTGTTTAATGCTTTAATAATTATTGAAGCTATTTTTTTTATTTACGTGGGGTTAAGTCCCTGGTGGTTTTTTAATTAAATTAAAAAAGTCGATGGTTCCGACGTTTCCTGTAGTTTGGTATGGTTCAATTTGTACGCTAAACGCTGATATGTGTGAAGTAATTGTACAAAAACGAGTTGTTTATAGTGCGTCGAGTTTTCTATTACTGATAAGGCTCATTCACGTATCACTAGCGGGTTAGGGTAGGTCATTGAGCGGTGATCCTTAATACGTATCACGAACATTGTAGAAAAATACTTTACGAACATGCTGCTTCCTTATTTCTTGAAAAGAATGAAGCATGACACAACGACGAAGGGGGGCGAAAGAAAGAGAAGGAGAGGATGTATAAATCAGTGTATGTAGATACGAAAAGCCGCTCGAAGTTGAAGTGATAAAATTGGAGCCGTATCAAGGTGATACGGCAGTCGTAATGTCAATGACCGATTGGCGGCCATGATTCCTCCCGAAATGACATTGCACGCCGGCCTTCGCCGGAGACGGTAACATCTGTGTTTCAGATTGGGAACAGTCGCTGCGTTTTATCAGCGATAAGTGCGATAACGCGGCGAGATATCTTCCAGCGTTGCCTAATTCGATGCAACTGCAACGGTAGAATATTACTGTGGATCTTGGCGAGGCCGTTGCTTTTCGTACAGCGAAACGTAACGTAATCACCGGCGGCGGCGGCGCGGCGTATCGCAGCTTTCTCGTCCGGCACGCGACGAAAGTCGGAGCGATTATAAAAGTCGCGGGATGGTCTTGCGAGCTAATAATCGAGTACGAGGTAACTTCGTGCCCGTTGCGAACAACTTGGCGACAAACTGCACGAACATTTCGTCCCGATCTGATAACGTCAGACTTACCGTCCAGTGGCGCGGCTCGATTTCTGTCCTCCGAGCTCCGATAGTATGCAAAACGCGAGGATAATCAACGCAGATCTGAAATCAGACTTTCTGATATTGTATACATCGATACGAACGCAGCTGCGCGGCATCGACTTGTCTCGCGCGTCGAGTTGCGTCGCGTCGCGGCGCGGCGCGGCGGTTCGCCGTGCAGCCGTCGGATTCACTTAGCGCGCCGATGTTAGCGCCTTCAGTCGCGTCTGGTCCGCGGTGGTGTAAACGTCGTCGGGTGCGGAGGTGCGTTCGAGTTCACGCGAGAGCGAGAACGCGCGCGTTCGTACATTCGTTCGCGTTGTCGCAAGCAGACGGAATTGCCGGGCGACTAATTAGTGCCGAATGTCGCGACCGCACTGTCGGCTCCGCTCGTGACGCGTACGCGCATCCGTTTTTTCGCTATCGTGGTGGCACGAGACAGTCATGGACGCGTGGATGTACGACGTGGTAAGTGTGGCGTGCATGTGTACGTGTGTTACGGCACGTAATATCTCTCTCTCTCTCTCTCTCTCTCTCTCTCTCTCTTTCTCTTTCCTCTCTCTTTCCAGTCCTCTGCACCGTCGCTGCGATCTCGTGGCTTTGTTTACGTGCTTCGCTGCTGCGCCGCCCTCGCATCCTGCGTTCAGCTTCCGCGAAGCGAGGACGCAGAGGCTGTCGTGAATTCGTCTTCTCGCTGCGAAAATATAACGCACCTCGAATCGGCGATTATATGATCGGCGAGTTGTATTTTGACGATATAATGCGAGCCGCGGTTATCGAGCGCGCGTGATTTCGAAGATTTTCTTCGTGCGATTTCGCGTTACGACGATCGCGTATCTCTCTCGATTTTATCTCGCTTTACGGCCCGGTTTTCGTCTTCACGATCGCTTTACGTTCCTCGCCGGAGAAACGTAGGAAAATATATATTTTTACACACATATACATAAATATATATACACATGTATAGTCGCGCGTAGAGCGACGTCGATATCGGAGCAAAGATCGAGCAGCAGGGTCCTTTCGTTCAGCATAGATTCGGATGCGCGCGCGCGCGCGCGCGTCGTTGATTCCTCACGTTTGTCCTTCTCTTCTGCAATTTTACGAAACACGACGATTTTTCATTCTCGAGTAAACGAAACGTGACGGTGGCCGATTGAACATTCGCCCACGAGCTGTCGTCGGTCTCCGTGACGGGTCGAGCAGCATCGGAAATCGTCGAGCTCACCGAAATTGCATTCCGGCTTCGATCCATACGTCGGCGCAGTCGTTTATCTCGCGACAAGTCGGTCATTATTACGTTACGGCGAGTCGGGCTGTTAGGTAATCTATCCCGTAGCTCGCGACTAATTCCTCCGTCGCTTGGCGATTCGCGCCGGGCCGCCGGGAAATGTGTCGCGGAGCGGAAAATCGCGAACGCGCACACGTTCTGCGAAAGATCTCAGCCGACATTTGCGCTCGTACTTGCGACTTCATACGTCGTACGAAGCCACGAGCAAACGGAGCTTCTCCACGTTCTCGAAATTTTATACGGAGTATTAGGAGGAGAAAAACTGTTTGTTATGATCGCGCTCGAGCGAGCGCGCGTTTGGCCGCTAGTATTTATTGTGCCCGGACGAGAGAGAGACGAGCTTTCGCTGGCTCGAGTGGCTCTTTTTTGCTTCCTAGCTTCTTTGCTCTCGTTCGCTCGCGCACGCGCGCGCGCGCGCGCGTGCGTTGTTCCACAGCGCTTTTCTCGACGGCGTATTGGTAATTGGAAGATAGCAATTACGACAATTGTGATCAAGTGTTAATACGGCTCGAGGTGTCGATAATTGGTCGATTGGCTGGACAGTTCGCGAGAGCAGAAGAGCGAATGTGGGGCCTCTTTGCAGAGCGTATCGCGGAGTCGCGCGAACCAGTGCGGAGCACGAAGAAGCGCCGACGCAAAATTGCGATCCGAAATCAGCCCGAGAGTGTTTGCGGCCCGAATATCCGGCGCATCTTGGGACGAGTGTCGCTGGAGTCCGCAGCGTGTTTTCGCTGAGTACGAGTGCACTCGTGAGAGTGCGCTGATACTCGCGCGACGATTTCGCATTTCGTCCCGCGATAAAGAAAGATTCGCGCAGCCGCTGATACACGCGTCTTCTCGGGCGAAAAGCGTGAAAGAGCGCGCCTGATGTCGGATGTGGATCAATTGCGTTGCTTGCGTGCGTGCGTGCGTGCGCCGAAATTTACGATTGTCGATGACACATGTTTATGCGTACGCGTGTGTGCGCTGCGTTTTCCTCCCCTCTTATCTTCGACTGATTACCGAATTTTTCTGTAACATAATAGCTGTAAGATAAACAACACACATCGTCGATTGTATAATTGGTGAGACACCGTGTGGTGTTATTTGGCAAGCGTTATTCTCTCTGAAAACAAAGAAGCGGGAAAATCCGACAAATCCGATGCGTCACAAGAGATCCCCGAATGCCGAATAATGTTAACAACTATTCCACTTTTTACCAGTCGAGGTGGTTGACGCTCAATCTCTCTTTCTCTCTCTCTCGATAGACTTTCCCCGATACCCTTTTCAAACAATATGCTGATCGATAGTATTATTTGTCTGCGGAGATGATAGAAATCGGCTTCGTTTGCCGCTCCGTAGCTATCGGCTAGCCCAAACTTGAGCACAATTCGTGTCCACTTGAGAGAAGCATCCGTGCCATATATTTACTTTCGAGTTATTACTCTTCCGATGGTGCTCTCGGGCGACTTGAGGGTGCTGCTCTCGTTCGCAGGGGACTCTCTCGCGGATGATTCTCGACAGTGTTTCTCTCAAATGGACAATGGTCGCGCGCGACGATGGTTGGTGCGTCGTGTTCGCATGCACGCACTCACGTACGCGTACTCGCGCACACCCATACCCATGCGATTCTTACGCAACGCCACGTGCCTGACCATAGAGAGCGGGAAGGAAGCCACCACGAAGAGCGACGTGGCGGAATACCGCGTTTACGCTATCATCGCCGATATTACTTAGCGTGTCTCGTCTATGCTTCTATTCTATACGACGTGCTAACGTAGCTTAACCTTCACGGCCACGTACTTGAACTCTGTCGTCTCGATGTTTTCAGCATCTATAATGACCCTATAACCATGCATATTATTCGTCTCGTGATTCGTCT